TCTTATTTTTAAATTTATTTTAACGACGACCAGAAGTTTGGGATGCTTTGCAGCAGCTGTGGAAGGACAACGGCTGCTGCAAAGTAACGCGAAAGTGCTGCTAAGTAAGTAACTTAAATGATAAGTTAACTTTTATTACGCGTTCAAACCCGTTTAAAATGTTTATTTTAATGTGTACTCGTGTAAATACACAATAAGTATATTACAATAACAAAAGTTTTTCATACCTAAATCCTGATAAATGTTTTATTATTTTCTACGCTGCAAACAAAGGTTTGGGCTTACGAGTCAAAGCGCTAGGTAGAATAGACACATTGGAATTTAATCAAAGACAATCAAACTCCAGAATTCTCGTTCAATGCTTCGGTTCACGATGCAGCTGTCTGTTACTAGCAAATTACATTTTTTACACTTCCTCTGGTATTACAGGTGAAATAGTTTCCAGTGGTATATTGCTAAAGGCATATAACTGTCTCTGTATTACTAATCGACTATGATTACTTATGTTGTGTAGACCTAGTCTCTCTCGAGTATGATACCCCGTCTGGAATTTATTTGAGTTCTCTGAGATTAGAATCCGGGTCATTGAATTAGCGCTTCTACGCTCTATTGACTATTTTACGCTCGTTTGAAAACATTTTTTTTATGGGAGAGAAGGATGGATGCGGTTGATGGTAGGTGAAATGTCCTAGTCATATAAACAAGATGAGCTGACGAGCTATTTTGACTTTGGATATTCGGAAATCCACAGACTGAAAACTAAACGCGATGAAACTACGCGGTTTTTTATTTGTGGACGGTGGTCCATTCATTTCATATCCAGATTTTCAGGACAATTATAAATTGATTAAGAAAATATTGGACCCGTTGGGGATCGAATCCACGTTGATTATTAGTCAAACAATGCTACCATTAGGCTAACGAGCATATCAGTTTGTTAATACGAATATATATTGGTATTATTAATAAATTATACTAGCTGTGTCAGCGACTTCGTCCGCGAAGAATAGTTGTTTTGGGCATCCAAATTTGTTTTTAAACCTCTACGTCTTTATCAAAAATCGTGGGCAGCTTCCACGACATCAGTCGTGTCCCGTCACTCCCGACCGCGTTGGGGTCGTCGTTGTTGCAACTTAATATTAAAAGATAAACATATAGTGTAGCGGACATTTTTTAGATCATTTAAAGAGGAATCATTCTTTCATATATATTTTTTGGGTGTCTTGAACCGTTTTCGCAGCATACGCATCTTAAACCCGCAGAGATCAAAAATTTTCCCCGTTTTGTTCACATTTCCCGCTGTATCTTCGCTTCTATTAGTCACAGCGCAATGTTTTATAGCCTACTTCCTCGATGAATGCTCTATTTAACACAAAAAAAAATCTATTCGAACCCGTAGTTCCTGAGATTAGCGCGTTCAAACAAACAAACAAACTCTTCGGCTTTGTATATTAGTATAGATATATGCTCTTACTAGCACTGCAATTTAACAACGTCTTCCAACCTGGTAATATCTGGTTCCAACAAAACAACATTATTATGTTGAAACAAATAAATATTTTTCAATTAAATGAAAAACTTTTAACCGTTTGAAACCCGAAATATCTTGGTAAGTGTATTATTTAAATGTGTAATACTCGCGTTAACTTCAGACAATGCTTAACGCTGCATTTACCAAACACAAAGTTTTTCGAGGCAGGAAAACGTCGTATTTCCCAAAGTTTTTCCAATCTCCGCTTTATTTAAAACGCCTGCCAGTACAAGAATGGCATCGCGCATCAGCTGTTAATTATAACAAGCGATTGGACTTTTAATTAAACATTAACTCTACCGTCGCATCTGTTGATTTTAAATAAGGTTTAAAGTCAGACTATTTGCGGAATGCAATTTGTCTAGCTTTAACAGAGTATTTTAAAGACAGATTTATTTCTTCTTCGTTTTTTGAAAGGTGAAACCCACGACTTGGTCTATAACTACAATACAAGTAACCTTTTGACGGGCTTTCTGGTCTAATGGTAACAATGTATGACTAATAATCAACGGGCCACGGGTTCAATCCCCACCGTGTACAACAATTTTTCAATTTACAATTTGTCTGAAACACGTTGGACTTCGTCTGGAAATCTGGATATTAAATGGGTGATAGGAATATAGAAAGGGTCAGGAATCATTGTCCACAGATGAAAAAACCGTGATTCTTAATCGCGTTTCGGTTTCAGTCTGTGAATTTCCGAATATCCAAAGCCAAAAAGGTCGACAGCGCATCTTGTTTAAACCAGGTAAACAGGGGTCCTACCATCAAGTGAACTCCGTGCTTGTCTGTCCTCCATCATTGAAATAAGATCTAGAAGCAAAAATGAAAACATCTATCTAGGTATAGGTTCATTGCCCGTTCAATTTGTAAACATCTTAACTGCCTACGCACTCTTTATATCTGGAATTCACTATTGACTGGAAACACTTTCCTGTTTAACATTTTTATCAATATCAAAATAAAAGTTTATATAACAACGATAAGTATTCTCATTGGCGCTGTAGTTAAAACTATCAAAGAAAACCCTTTATAACTATAATTAATAATTCTTATGATAATACTGTGATGTGTTTTTTTTTCTTTTTTATTATATAAATAAAATAATTACTGTTTAAAACGCGAAATATATTTCCAAATGTATTTTTTAAATCCGACTCGACCCTTTGAACGCATTTCACGAGTCGTAGCTATAAGTGAACTTTAAGTGCTTCTTGTACAAGTTAGCAGTTTAAGACTATAAAATACATAAAAAATCAAGTCATAGTAGTTAGGCTACTCTGCCTCTAGGTGCCTCATATAGTGTTCCTCTCCGGTGTCGGGTAAAGTGCACAAAAACACTTGCACATCTAAATAGGTCAAGTTGTCTACGCCTAATGTTATGTCAGACATGAGTCAGCGCTAAAAGATTGCAAAGTGTTAGGCGTGGCGAGTCTACTTTAAACATTGCATTTTCCGGTACAATAACAAAGCCATACGCTATAACTTTAAGCGATGCTTAGAAAAACATTTACACTAATGTTTTGTAAAGGTTTAGTAGTAGTAAACTTATAAGAAAATTTCAAGGGGGGGAATTTCTGAGGCCGCTTCAGTCGCGTATACGTAAAGCTAAGTTTTCCAGCAGTGTGTGTTACCAGTGATGACGTACGGTACCGAAACATGGTCTCTTACTGCGAGCATGGTGCACAGACTACGCGCTGCTCAGCGTGCGATGGAAAGTGCTGTGCTCGTAATTACCCTGCGTGATCGAATCAAGAATAAGGAGATAGAGAGAGAGGAGAACTAAAATTACTGACATAGCCCAACGAATTGGCAAGCCAAAGTGGCAACGGGCTGGGCACAGCACTCGTAGAGCTGACGGCCGTTGGGGCAAAAAAGTTCTGGACCACCTCGTCGTCGATAACCTGAACGACCTCCTACCAGGTGAACTGACGACCTGGTCAAGGTAGCAGGGAATCGCTGGATTGAAGTAGCGAACGACCGGTCGTACTGGAAGTCTATGTCCAGCAGTGGACACCGAAAGGCTGAAAGTCGTAAAAGCTATAAAAAAGGATTTTTGTGGTTTTCTATTTATTTTTTTTTCTATTTGATATTTTGTTAATTGTTTTAATGTAAGAAGAATCTACTAGTTCTACTTCGATTGTCACACATGGGGCATGACTGAAAATCAGCGTTGTGCCTACTACAGGTACAACAAAAGCTGAGTGATGACCACCACATCTATTATTATTTATGTTATTCATTTTTTCTGTGTTATTCTTTAAATTTTTTGGGTGTGTGGATTTTATGATGTGATTTGATAATTACGTAGTGAGGTAGGCAGGAAGAATATTAAATAAGTGTTTATCTGAAACAGTTTTAACCGCTTCCGTAGCTTAATGGTTACGCGCTGCCTAGCATTGCATGAAGGACGAAGAGTATGAGATTCAAATTCTGGAGAAACCATTAATTGTTTCGGTCAAGACAGAAAAATTTGACTATTTACATCTATTCTACTTAGTATTATGTAAAAACGATCACTCAAACAGACACAGAAATATTTTATTTTATTACCTTTTGCTCCACAGTGCGAAACACAGTTCTTAATACGACTTCTGAAAGCGTTTTATATTTTTTTCTAGCATAATATAAGGATATTCATATATAAAGCAAATGAAACGCAAGGGAATTTGAGAAATTATATTTTTTTTAAATAAAACACTGTTCACGCTTTAAAACGAGCAATATATAAGTTGATTTAATTTAACTACGGCACGGTGCTTCGAAGGGGCGCATTGTAGATGGAAAGTTTACATTGCGTCAACGTGAAAACTGATGACCCCCGTGCCCACGGGTGCCGAAACGTCGGGTGTTCTTTATATGTGTACTACTGGCTAAAACTACAGACTAAACTCTCGTGAAATTTTATTATTATTGCATATTACAGTTGCGTTCTGCTAATTCCAGGCAGCATTGAGTAAATTAAAAAGCGCGTAGGCTTGCCGATAAATCTGAAAGCAAATAATGTAAGCCACCTAAAGAATAAAATTCCTATATTTTTTATTTGCCTAGCATTAAGGATTGGATACATTTAAAACATCTTCGTTGTCTCAAGTTACCGCTGACACGTCCGATATAGAGCTGTCGCTTTGTCGGTCAATGTATCGCTCGCTTGGTGTTTGGTCGGTCATTGTGCCAGTCCTTGTGTCGGTCATTTCTTGTGTCGGTCAGTTACTGTATCTGTCAGTCGGTCGCTGTGTCGTTCATTCATTGTGTCAGAGAGTCAAACATTGTATTGTTCAATCGATGTGGGGGTCTAGTTGTATGAACACCCAAGTAAAGTTCGATCCCCGGTCGCGCGCGAAAATATTCATCTAACAACGCGATTGACCGACACTTGCTGTGCTTAGTAGATCTAAGCTCATATACCCCTAAGACTCGAAACGGTCGAGTCCCAACAGTGGGAACTGCTAAAGGGTTTCTGAATATCTTACGTACGTACATCGGTTAAACCGTCCAGGCTTATATTTGAGAACATAGTATGCATAGCAACGGGTCGGGTTACTCTTGTTAGCAACAAAAAGATCAGGGTCCGTGACTGGCGATCCCAGTGGGACTCCCAACCGCAAGAATACAATGCCATCCTCACATCATCACTCTAAAGGCAGAAAAGACATTTATTAGCTTAATTAAGAATTGACTATTCCGGCTCAACTATTAATAGTAACGGTATTCTCTCGGCTCCTCTAAAACTTTGATTGATTGTCATTTAAATCTTCTGAAAAAAGTACTCTTTTATGCTTACTATGAATTGAAACTTTAAATGCAAAATTATTAGATTATTTTCCGTAAATAAAATTTAAATTCATGTACCTTATTTAGAACGTTTTATTTAAAAGTTTAGCGCTTTGAAACAAGCCTTTTGTCAAGGTCTGAACTCTCCAAGCCCAAACAACAAACATCTTTTTGACGGTAGTTTCACCGAAGTTTGACAAAGACTAATATTTTTGGGTGCACGAAAACTCAACTTCTTTAGATATATGTAATGTAACCTTTACATAAACTAGTTTTCTCAAATATATACTTGTCCCAGTGTATACTATAACTAGCAGTGAAAAATTCGTCCTCGTGAAGTAATTATTATAGGTATTTTTTGGTTTTGCAGCGCCCACCACGGAAGCCCTCAAAGATGTACAGCTATGTACAAGTCTCATACCTTTTGCATAAGCATATCGCTGTAATAACAGGGTACATTCACCAGCATCCCAGCACCAAATATGATTGATAGAAACTCAACACTAATATGCCCGCTTTTGAAAGCCTGCAATTCAATTAAAAGAAATTTAATTAATAAGGAAGTAATCAAGTTTGTTGATAAATTAAAATATTTAAATATAATCTAGACTACAAAGATTTTTATAATAATGTTATCGTATTTATGTGCCCAATTAAAATTGATAAATAACTCACCTCAATCATTTGGTAGAGTAAAATTGGTAAAATAACAACCACTGATTTAAAAAGTAATTCGTGATACGTCCGCAAACATGCATCCACGCTTCGTACAAAACTGAAATGCGATGAAATTATCTCATTATTACTATTATTGGTTTAATAGACACGGTAAAATTATTCTGTACACACTCATATGTTTCCGAGAGATGTCTAGCGGCGATTTTAAGGTTCGATACCGCATCAAATGAAGAACTATAATTTGAGAATGTGTTTAAAATCCTCCTTTTCACCAATTCCAATTGCCCACACCCATGTAATATCAAAATGGGACCCAAAGGAGAAAACGAAACATATATTGTCGTACTATAAACATAATAAAATAGAAATAAAATATTCAATGCTATGAACACAACAACGTTGTTTTCCTGTACATCATGATTTCCCGGAAAAGCGATATAACAGAGCGGGACCAATCTAAATTTTCCAATTGAGCTATAATAAATCATGATGACGATTGGTTTTAGCAGGTAAATAATAGTAGCGCATCTCGTTATATAGAACCAAAGATATACTATGTTTCTTCCTCGCTTAGCGTAGCTGAACACTACGTTTAAATCATCGTGAGACATCTCTTTTGCTACATCGAAATCAATTTGCATTTTCTCAATCAATCCTCGGAACCGTTTTTGGTGCCATACAAGCATGAAGTACTTAAGTGAAATCACGTAGAAAATAACGCATAGAACGCCGTTAGCACAAGCCTGGGAAAGCATTCTATTTCTTACATCTTGAAATACTGTGTAGATCAATAAAGTGTACCCGAAAACTAAAATTCCATACAAAATACCAAATTCACAGAACCATTTTAAATTACGTGGTATATTAGGATGCGATTTGTTTAACCGCATCGCTTTTACCATAATCTTAAATATTTCATTAAAATGTATTTCGTTGGTGGACATGTTGCTTTGCAGAAGCTAGTTTCGTACTTCCATTTATGCGAAGGCTCTGAATAAAGGCTTTATAAAGAAGGAAAATATTCTGCTGTAATATTTTATTTATGTAAACCCATTTGTAAGTCCCACATAATATATTCTACCTTTTAGGGTTTCGTAACGTATTAAGTACGAACGAGCTTTATAACATGTAAATAGATAGAATAATGAAACTAAACATGCCACAAGCTTTTAAATAAAACACTTTAACGGTTTAAAACGCGATATATTAGTTAAACTGATTTGAACTAATATATCGCGTTTTAAACCGTTAAAGTGTTTTATTTAAATGTGTACTACTCGCGTAAACTATAGACTGTATTTATGCCAAAAGCTTTTTTTGCAATGCATTGATAAGCCTAACCAATGAGCCTTGGGTTCGGTACCCATAGCATAGAATAAATGTCACTTCTTCCAGATTTTTCTTGAACCAGGACATTATTGGGCCACCATCATACATCCATGGATGAAAAGGCGGAGAAGTGTCATACGTCAGTTACGTTCAATAGAATTCTGAAAACTATCTATATTATTCGGTTGTAACAATTTTATTATTCCCCCACAGTATACCTTATTGTTATTATCTTTTAGGGACTCTGAAAGGAGGCCGACCAGTCCACGCCACCACTTCATCCATTGCCCCTTTCCGCTTTCGCAGAGGGCTTTGAGTTAACCTATCACTGCGTCCCCTTTAAACCTTCTGGTTTCTTTCTCTCGCGCCATTCTCGTTCTCTGCAATTTATTTTTTGTAATTTTTACAAACTTAATTGTTATATTTGTATAATTGTTTGTTTAAATGTCGCTTCCCATATAAGTATATCTCAGTTTTGTGTACATTGACCATTGCATTACGTACATTACAATATACATTGCAATGACAATTAGTATTAAAGAATGAATGAAATATGGCCAACTCAAACTTGACTAAGTTTTTCAACGGAAAACGATATAAACCTTTTCATTAAAAATTCACAGACAATAACATGAAGTATTCGCTAATAAGCTACTAGATTAATATTTATTCTCAACGACATACTCACTTTTATTAATACTTTCAAAACTTAACTTGTACTCATTTTTTATTTGAAAATAAGTTTAATATAATTTCAATATTATAGTGTATAATATAGCTCTTAAACGTTCAAGTAATAAAAAAATTACTATTTAATTACGTAAAATTATTTTATGTAACTTCAATGTTTTAACATCAATGCCTATGTTGCGCCCAATTCTTGTATAGTACTTTTCGCAAATAATGCTCGGAAATTAAAACTAAATAATGCAATTCTGAACTTTAAAAGCAATTACGAAGTGGACGAAAAACTAATAACATTACTTAATGCTTTCCGCGCCAAAGTATTTTTTTTACTAAACAGCTTTCTATGTGCAAGCTAGTTCAAAATTTAAATTAAACCTTTAATAAGTTACCTCTTTGGTCGCCATGTTGCAGAGTAGAAATACGTTCTATTTTTAAATTATACGACAAATATGATTTTACATAGTAATTTATTTAATGTTTTTTTATTATTTATTTACAGAAATTTACAGCTAAAATTTTTTTTATAATTAGACAATTAATTAGGCCAATTACAAGGATTTACAAGTAATAAATTAATAAGGTTATCGAAGTGACAAGGTTATATATATATATTTTTTTTGTTGTGTGAAATCCCGTTTCTCCCTTGTGAGGCATAGGGCGAACACATTTCTGTGTCCGTTTCACTGATCCGTTCTTTAATAGGCAAGTAGTTGATCAGGCTTCTGTGCCCTGCCTGACCGAAACAATTTTTGTCTCCCTGCGAACCCAGGACCTCTCGAGCTTAACGCAATGCTAGGCGTTTAACCATTTGGCTACAGAGGCGGTCAATATATTATAGGTATTATATAATATTATAGGTACATAAAATTAGAACTGAAGTGACGTATCCCTGTTTTTTGTACGTATGTATAAGTGTTAGTGAATGCGAGAATGTTAGTGTTTTTTAAAAGTGCTTATGAGAGCTCTTTTAAAGTCGGGGCGTGAAAGATTAAATATATGTATATATTGATGACAATTTTTTAATGTAAATATTTTATACAACTATTGCTGGCTACTGCTAGGCCAGTACAGCGAGTCTATTTATCTCAAAGAAGATTGTTAAAATAATGCTTAAATTTCCAAGCACGTTCGAAAGAAATATATATATCATAAATATCACATCGGAATATACATCAAAATAATTAGTTTTTTTCAATACCTCGCGTATTGAAATATTATATGAAATGAAAGAAATTGGATAAGCACATAATTTCGCTTAGAAGCTGTCAGATGTCAGGTTGTCAGAAGCAGTTGACGCGTGACTTTTATGGGATTGTGCGCTAACCACGAATTACGACTTACGCTACTATACTTATGCAAGCCTTGGTAAATTGTTAACAACTGAAGTATCATACTTATTACTGAGTTAGGTTACAATATAATATAATAAATATATATACTTTTTTATGTATGTTTACAGATAACTACCTAGTTTATAAATAGTTTTTGACGATGCTTGTTTGTTGAAAAGAATAGTTCCAAGATAAGACAATCGGAGACTAATCATGGCACACCAAAGTAATCGAGGGGAACTTAAAAAAACCGTAGGGTTAACTATTTAGTTTGTTTATAATATAAATATTTTAAAGCAATAAAAATAAACTATTAATAAAAACCCGAAATATAAATTTAACCTATTTAAACTACGTCCCGTCGTTTTCAAATGTTTGTAGCAGTCGTGGTCAGGGGGTCTGTAGATGGTTTCAGACTATAAAGTAAATCTAACGACGGAGACAAGTGGCAATCGAAAGAACTCTTTATTCATGCAACAGATAAGTATATTTTGTATTGCAACTTACAATATAATAAACGTACGTTTTCTAGTTGAATTAATTAATGTAATTTTAGCCTGTTTTCGTTGAAAAATAGTTTGAGAATATTATATAGAGCACCTTAAACCAACACTGTAATAATATTTTGGCAAATTCCTTGCTAGTGGATGTTTATTTTTCTCGAAAATGCCAAGCTATTTTCCCTCCAGAATTACCTCAGTTATGTGATTTTCCAAGCCATCCAAATGTAATGTTTGTAATTTATGCTCAGCTCTGCTTGTATTTCAGGTACATACTAGGTTGTATTGTATTCAAATTTCAATGAATATATCTAAATTTTATAACACTACCGTTATGTCCTCTTGCGTTTTAACATTATCGTTTTTACTTATATTTTCTTTTTTATGATAGAAGAATAAAGAAGCATTGGGTCCACTAATAATGTGGATTTCCATAGACTGAAATCAAATCCCGACTTTACAGCTTTTTTATCTGTTGAGGTTCCGGATCACTGGGCATTCAATATAAAATCCACCCATTTAAAATCGAGAGTCGAACATATTTCTCCTGGACCTGGTGGGAACCAAACCCCATTGAACCCCGCTGATTATTAGCCATACATTTATTTACAGTGGCCATATATAATAGTCAGAGTTTATACATTTAGACTTATATCCATAATGTAATGCCTTAATCGAGTAAGATTTTTGTAAGTATTATGATACCTTTCAACAAAGTCTATACTTAAACATAAATCACAACCTTTGCCTGCTATCAAATGACAGTAGTGTCAGAAACAAGCCTAACTTCTCAAGCCCCTTTTAGTTTATAAAACGAAATTAAGTTTGCATTGACTCACTCTAGCTTCTTTATTCCGGGAACTATGTCAAACTTCAGTTCAGTTTTTAGAAGACAGTTTCCTATAGCGACACATGCTTTAAAAATTAATAGATCTGATCCATACGCAGAACGCAACGTATCGTGGAAACTGCAGGTGTTCTGGTCTTATTTTGTGAGCGTGACATGTCTTATTTTTCTCGTAAATTCTATAATACTTCACGATTTCCCTGGTCAAGACTACAGCGAAGGGGTTAAGAACGGCATGATAGTAATTGTGTCAACGTCCATTTTGATAAAGTTCTATATACTAACACATCACCGCGATGCACTTATCAGCTTATTTGCAATAATTGAAAATGATTACGAAGAAGCAAAAACCTTCAATGATCATGACAAATCAATTATACAGCAATACATCAAAAAAGGAAAGGACATTTGTAAAATTTGGTTGATAATAGCTCTCGGAGCTAGTATTATGTTTCCACTTAAGGCTATTGTTTTTATGATTTATTATCATAGAAATGGTGAATTTCGATTAGTTTTAATGTTTGATATGCATTATCCTGATATTATTAACGATCATAAGTTTGACCCCGTAATATACTTCTTGTTAACGCTCTTAGTTTTTTCATTCGACAGTTTTGCGATGTCCATGTATATTGCTTTCGACCCCCTTGTACCCATATTTATGCTTCATATGTGCGGGCAGCTGCATTTACTTAGCCAAAAAATAATGGATGTATTTTCTTCAAGTAACACACCAGAAGAAATAACAGAAAATTTAAAACACGTTAACATTAAATTAGAATCTATCTACAGGTTGGTATTGTTAAGTAACTTTTTGTTTTAATGTTTATGTGTTAACTAATATATGTTAAGTTAGACTATAAACTAGTTATTTATTCGTTCAAAGTTTACTCAATTGGCGATCAGAATCAAATATAAGAAAATAGCCATCAGTTGTCCTAGTGTCTGGATAAGATTAAAATTTAATATTTTTAAGAACATTAAATCTCGAGTTTAAATCAATCATTTGAGTTTTAACTGCACGAATATTTTTCAGATTTGTAAAAAAAGTTCAAGATATTTTTACCGCACAATACGAATTTAATTTGAAAACAACAACATTTTTAATACCCTTCGCTGCATTTCAGATTGTTCAAGTGAGTTAAAATAGTTATTATAACAATTTCGTATTCACCTTTGTGTAACGGAATATTTCTCATTGTTTCAGTCTCTTCGAAATCGAGAATTCAATTTGGAATTTCTGTTCTTTTTTTGTGGGAGCAATTTTGCATTTTTATATTCCGTGTTTCTATAGTGATCTGCTGATGGAGAAGGTTAGAAATGCACTATGAACAAGTCCAGTGGTTGAAAGTCTATTGACCTATTTCTCTAAAGATATTCTGTAATGCGTGTAAAACTTATTCAGCGTGCCTTTCCTTAAATATATACTATCATAATACATGAATAATCAAATTTTCTATTATCTAGAGTTGGCTTATGCGAGAAGCAATATATTCCAGCAGCTGGGAGAATAATGCAAATAAACAGAACAGAAAAACGATATTATTCATGCTGACCAGGACAACAAAGCCGCTCGTTATTCGTACGATATTTTACTCCATTTGTCTCAACACCTTTGCAGAGGTAAAGTTCTGTTTAAATAGTATATATAAGAGACAATGTTACATATTAGAATCATTCCTTTCAGATGTGCCGACAGTCCTATGCTATTTACAATATTATAAATGCTGCATGGGGTTAAGTGAAGATGCAAACTTAGGGGTCATTACAACTTCAATGTATAATACTTAAAAATATTTTGTATTTTTTCTTTTTGTATGTGAATATAAAAAAATAAAAAATTTACAAGAGCAGTTTATTTGATGTAACATAACAACGATAGCTCAAGAGCACGACCACAGGAGTTTAAAAAGTTGAAAACTGGTTACAAATTATCAATTTAATGGTCAATGCTTGGGTCTATGACGCAATATTGTCGGCCCAAATATTCCATGTGTAATTATTATTTGCATTCGGCATTGCTCTAGGATCTCTAAAAAGCGGCACAGTCCTCGGTATCATCCGCTTCATTTCGTCTTTCAAAAGTTTGCGCAGCTTCTCAGCGAGTTCAGGATTTTCGCTTGATATATCTTGCATTTCACAAGGGTCTTTCTTTATGTTAAACAGGCATACTTTATCTGAAAAATATTTTCAATCTTATCACAAGTTTTAAAAACAAGCACAATCTAAAGTACCATTAGACTACTTACCATTGTTTGGATAGCAAATATTATTATCGTTTGTTATATCACATTCGACTTTGATATTTCCTCTTAGATTAATATCATTCGAAGTTAAAGGAATATTCATTTCCTGAATTACTGAGTAAACTTTACTATCCTTGAGAGCTTTTTTATAAAGTGGTGGGTCTTTTGTGAAACCTCTTAAGTCTTTTCCCTGGTGATTGCTGGCACTCCTTGTAACGTTGCCGGTGACTAATTTAAAATCACCTTCAATAACAGCAGCAAAGCCGGAATAATCATCAATTTCGAAAATTACGTTTCGCTTAGATGGAGCATTTGTTGTAAAGCTCTCCCACATGTCTATGCCGTCTATATCTGCCGGTAGTTCAGCACCAGCTGCTGTAAGGAGTGTAGGCATCCAATCAACCACGTGCATATAGCCTTTCCAAAGATGATTTGCTCTTGTTAGGTTCTTGCTCCAAACCAATCCATTCACTCTAATTCCACCTTCGAACGGAGTGAACTTCAGACCTCGCAAAGGATAATTGGAGGCATAATTAATGGACCTCCCTGATGTTATACCGCCGTTGTCCGAAACAAACACAAGAATCGTGTTGTCAAGTATACCTTTCTCGTGTAATGACTTTACAATGTCGCCAACGCTGTCATCAAGTTTCTTGACCATAGCTGTGAAGTTTCTCTTGATTTAACTTGTGTTTTATAATATTTTATATTAAGTATTTTACTTTATTATTTTATATTTTACTTTATTAAAAAAATCCAATACGGTGTAGTAAATAATAATAATAATTATATTATATTTTCTACCATTTGAAGTGTTTTCAGTATTCATTAAGTTTTTGTATTCTACCCGCGTAAAACACAAAACCTTAAATGCTTAATACTTTGAAAACTTTATTATTTTTTTTACATGTTATTGCACACGAAGGCACTATACAATTAAAAAGTCGAAAATAAATTGAAAATATTTTCGACTCGGACAGTACTTGAACCAGCATCGTCAGCCCACCGTGGTGTTCCTCTACCAATTGAGCTACCGAGCAACAGCACGGAACGTTGACGATGCCGTTTCAAGTCCTGTATTGCTTTATGACATTTGAAAATGTCATAAAGCATTAATTTATTCTGAAATAGTTAATTAACAAATTTAATCACCCGAGTATATTCTTCGTTTCGGAGACATCAGATACCGCATACTCCGAACCGTTTCTGGTGGAGCTTGTAAGCGGGCTGCTTCATTAGCACCGTGGGGAGCATTGTGAGTTACCATCAAGAATAAAGGCTGTGCCGTATCATGCCACTTGATAACTAAAAAAAACACATCAATAGAGAAACACAAAGATAAGAGAAACACAAAGCAAAAGTCATCTAAGTATTGTTAGTGATCATCAACATATAAAAACCATTAACAGAAGCCGGAAAAATACTTCATACTTGCGTCGACAAATTTGGAAAGTTTTTACTTTTGTAAACTTTAATATTTTTCACATGATGGTACTATATAATTCAAATCGATTAAACATTGTAAAAATTAACGACGCGAGCGGACTTGAACCGGCATCCACAGCGTTCAATGCTGTTGCTCTATCTAATTGAGCTACCGTGTTGTATACGTTATCGTCGAATTTTTTCAACCTATTAATTAATGCATATGAGAGAGAGGATTTTGTCATGGGTGGGAATCGAATACACGACCACCAGCGTTACGTACTGTTCTACCAACCGAGCTATCGTATTTTGAAACTTATTGTTGAATATTGAATTTACTCTCTAGACGTCATTGTATAATAAGAAGGTCAATTGTTATTGGTACAAAAACTAATTATTAAAAGTCAACCGAGTACTTGCACTCGTCAGTCGTTATATAAGCTAACACCCCATGGAAGTTTAGTTCTAGCGAAGTCACAGATTATACTCAGTATTTAAAACGTATCAGTTTTTTTTAAATACCAAAGCTTTTACCTCATATTTTTATTTAAAAAATACATATAAAAAGAGAAAACATCTTAGCGATATCTTCCAGGCAACCTGAAGTACAGGAGAAGAAACTTATTTTTATTATGATAATATAAAGAGTGTGAGGGTTTTTAGACATATCTTTTAAAAATGTGTAGAAACTCCCATGTGCTGTGCACATGTGAAAACGTGTAATGATCTAAACTATCAGAAAGTCCTGAACTATTGAACTTCTGAACTTAACGATGATATAGGAATTACGATATAGCTAACTCACTTGACTTCGCTTCCTCGTTGTATAGGTCAGTTACGTAACCCCTGGCGTCCCAATCTGGTGTCATATTTCTATACAAATCGAAACCAGCTACATCTCCTACGTTCCACTATAACAAAGGTTATATATATCATTTTATACTATAAAAAGGTTATGTATATTATTTATATTATCGTTTAGAGCAATTATCTCATTTACCTTAATAACAAATAGTTGTAACAAATCCATCGCATGTAGCAGACATATCTATGAGATCGTCCATTTTGTTTATAGCCTTTATTTAAACCATTTATGACATTTCTCTTGCTTCGCGCTAACGCAACGAATTTACCGAATAAGCCTCCGAGACACTTATTAAATAATATATTATATAATCTATAATTATATGTAACAATATATAAATATGTGTATATTATATAACTTTATAAAACAATAACGGTTTAAGTCATGGACTATATTAGTGAATTTTTTATGTTTCACTAATATATTTGAAAAAGTGCTTTAATTAAATTTGAACTATTTGCGAAAAGTACAGACAATACAACTTTTTATAACACGAGTTACATTGTTACTTCTTATGTCCTTGTAATATTAAAAATGTTTAATTAATATCTATTGTTTTTCATAATAAAATGTAACGAAATATCTCGTGACGCCTTTGTACTGACTACACTTGAAGAATCAAAGAAATCTTTACACAAATGGTACTCAATGCCATTAATATGCAAAAAAACAGATTTTGTTTAATTATTTCGGTGGATTTGTGTTTTGTTACAGCAATTGACCTTGAGTATGTGTTCTACTTACATTTTCCAATAATAAATATTCATAGTAGTCTATGAAACCGCCTCTGTGACCAAAATGGCTGTCGAAACCGCGAAGTGTTGGCAAAAAGTGTTGACGCGAACTGCCGAGATGCCATTTTCCGACAAGATGGGTAGCATAACCCAAATCTTTAAAATATTGCGGCATTATTTTGTGGTTCAAGGACAACCCTCTATCTTCCCCATTTGTCAGAGGGTAGCCCTGCATTCCTGAAATTTAAAAAGATATACTTATTCTTATTGCTAAACATAGAATTTATATTTGAAATTTTAATATTATGCGAATAATTTATAACGTGTTAAACCTAAAATGGCAGGATTTTAGAAGCGAGATAATTTGGTTGATTAAACATATTAATTAAAATAATAAAACACTTTAACGGTTTAAAACGCGATATATTAGTTAACCTTATTTGGAAATGATTTTTAACTTCGGCCCGACGTTTCGGGTGCTTTGCAGCAGCCATGGTCACGGCTTAAAGTGTTTTATTTAAATGTGTACTACTCGCGTAAACTATAGACAGTATTTAAGATAATAAAGGATGCGGAAATGATATAACTTCGGTTTCAGAACATTTCTTTTTATATTATATGATTGTAAAATATGTACTTTTACTCATTTTCTGAACCTCTTTCGCATTCAGGCTCTTCAAGGAGTCAAAAGAACAAAACTTTTCTTCAATGCTACTAGTAATTTTAGACAAAAAACGTCATCGCAAATTATAGGGCTCGTTGTAATGGTAGTAACGTACGGCTAACAATCAACGGGTTTCATTTTCAGTCCGTCGATTTTCGAATATTCAATGCTTTTCTGTCCTACTCTATCATAAAAGATAAATACCTGTGACATAGGCAAATTTGCCAGTCATCAAGGCAGACCGGGATGGAGTGCAGACGCAATGGCTGTAGTACCTCTCCATCGCCACCCCAGTGTATGCCAACATGTCTATGTTCGGGGTTAGCACTTGCTGCGACCCGTGAAAGCTTACGTCATCCCAACCCTGATTGAATGAATTTGGCATACTTATAAAGGAAATACGCTTGTTTTTTTATCGTTATTATTAGATGAGCTGTGTCAGTGACTTCGTCCTCGGAGAATAGTTAGGAATATAGAGTTGCAGACAATTTTTTACAATATTTAAAGAGAAATCATTCTTTCATACATATTTTTGGATATCTTCAACTGTATCAGCGGCGTACGTATCGGAATTTTTCTTTTTTCACAATTTCATTAAATATTTTTATTCGAACCAGCAGTTCCTGAGATTAGCGCGTTCAACAAACAATCTCTGTAGCTTAATATTAGCACAGATAGGACCCGTAGTTTCTAATTATGGCGCGTTTAATTATACAAAAAATATACAGATGACTGATTCGGATTATTATAAAAAGCTAAAACTATTGGACAAATGGGCAGGACTAAAAAGTTCACATGCGCGTATTGTATAAAGATTTAGTAGCAGCACCAATCACGGATTTAGAATACACAAAGAAAATAAGGTATGTGAAACACTAAATACTATATGTATAATGTTCAAAATACTAATCCATGGAGACTTACCGATAATTGGTTATTAGTGAATTTGACATATTTTTTTTATATAGTTTACGAAAGTCTTAAAACGCTAGCATGATTTTTGTAACCGCACGTTACTCTACGACGAATGCATGCTAATTAAATAGCGTTTTACAAAATAACTTTCTATTCGGTAACACTGTTATCTTTGATTCTTAACAATAATATAATACTCAAACGTGTAAGATAATATCGCACGACGTTGTACAAAGCAAAGAGAATTTAGAGACTAAGTTGTCATCAATGTACGTTTATAATGTAATAATGTACCACAATATGTCCTCGTAAAACGCGTTAGAACACATGGGATTATTTTTCGGTTTTTAGGGACTATAATAAGCCGGGACCGTAGATCACGGCTCTATATACTAATATTATAAAGTTGAAGAAGAGATGAAGAGTTTGTTTGTTTAAACGCGCAAAGCTCAGAAACCACTGGTTTGAATTGAAATTATTTTTATATTGGTTAGAGCGCTTATCGAGGAAGGCTTTACGCTTAAAGCACGTAATCTGTGAAAACTGTTACAGATACCCAAAAATATGTATGAAAGAATGATTCCACTTCACATGATCTACAAAAATGTCAGCGGGAATGACTGACATTTGACAAAAACGAAAGACGCAAGCGACGAAATTTTAACGCCCAAAATTATTATTATTCTACGTGGACATAGTAGCTGGCACACCTAGTCTTCTATAATTTCGTGGCGGTAGTTGTTAAAGCTCATCCAGTACTGCAGCGGCGTCAGGGGTCACCTGAAGAGATCCTATGAGTATAGAAGCTAAACCTAAGTTGAACATAAGATAAAAATTAAAATACTTACCATATCATCAGCTACAATAACGACGATATTCGGACGATTCGAATGCCCATCACTCAATATAAATAAACCAGACAAAACTGCCAAAATTGCAATTAAAAAACACCCACCCATTTCGAAGTTTAATATAAAATTAATGAAATTTATTTCGCACACTTGTATGAGACGTGATGTTGGCTATATGAACATCACTAAATGAGTGTGATAATCATTATGTAATATATTTTATAGATAATTATCGATATATACGTAAATATATAATGTAACGTCCGTCTGTCACACTGATAGTAAACTGACTGAACTCAAGATTGTCGAAGGTAATCTTCATTGTTTTCTATTGGTAAGCATCCTCATTTTTCTTATGCAACGCTGTGACACAAGCATTCTAAAATGTCTCCATTAAAATGTTCACTACTAGACGGTATTGTCACCCTTGACCTAGCCAACTTTCCTTATATCGTTAGGCAATTAAACGCTTATAAACACAAGGTTGGGTTTTAATAGTCAAAAACGGCTTTATCGACTTCCATGATATTCAAAAGTGCTGGAGAAAGTTTTCTTCCCAGAGGTTTGTTAAATAAGTCACACCCAAGTGGAACAAAGCTTAAATGGGGAAATTAAAAGATAATACATAAACGAAATCGAAAAAATCAACACCACTGCACACGGGTGCTAAAAACTAGCAAGTTTGGGTTACCAAAATGCCCGCTTTTGAGACTATCATATAAATTATGTAGTACTAGCTGTGCCCGCAACTTCGTCCGCGTGAAATAGTTATTTTGGGCATCAAAAGTTATATTTGAAAACCTTAATCTTTATAAATTAAAGCTGTTACCCACGACGTGGTCCGCTTCCTGTTGTTCTTGCAAATTAATGCTTAAATATAGATAAGTATATACCGTCCCGGATTTTTAGTTCACTTTTCTTTTCTTACGCTTACGCGAGTAGTAACCATGTAAATAAAACACTTTAACGGTTTACGCAATATTTAACTTGTTTACAAAGTATTGATTAACTATGCTATCTTTATCTGCTGCAAAGCATCAGTAACGATTGACTAATATAGTTTGCGTTTTAAACGGATAAAGTGTTTGAAAACATTAATATTTTTCACATGTTATATAGTGCCTTCATGTGCACATGAAGGCACTATATAATTTAAAAATGGAAAATAAATTGAATTTTTTTTCGATTTTTTGTCCTGCCCGAGTCGAAAATATAGCCTTATAGTCTTCCTCGATAGATTCTAACTAACACAAACAGATTTGTTCATTTCTCACCAGTAGTACTTCCTGAGCTTAGTGCGTTCAAACAAATCCTTCCGATTTATATGGTATTGATGAAAACGGTGCACCAAAAAAAAAACTGGGAAAAGCAATAAGTTTGGCAAGAGGAACAAAAATTCATAATGGTTCATTTTTATGTTAAACATTGCTCGTTACCATTTTATGGTTGTAAGTTGGCAATCGTCCCGTTTACTTGTCGTCTAGAAAAGGTAACTATTATTTATATGTATAATAAATAATATTCAATTTTTTCCTTTACCATTGACCTTTTAAATTGTTTATCGTGTAAAGTGTGTGAATACTTTTTCCTCTGTGTGCAAAATCTTCCCTCGTGGTGGCGAATAATTAGACTTTATTTTTACTGAAACAATATTTTTTTTACCGGCTCGTTGGTATAATGGTAGCAATGTGTGACAAATCAACGGCTCGTGGGTTCGACTCTCACCGGGTCAAACTGTTTTCTAAACAATTTATTATTTTCTGAAACATGTTGGAAATCCTGGATATTAAACGAGTGGTAGGAATATCGAAACTCCGTCCGGGTCACGGACCACCGTCCATAGATGGCTGTCCTATTTTGGCACCTTAGCTCGCATCTTGTTTAGATGTTGTATGGCTGGGATGTTTCACCTACCGTCAAGTGACTATGCTTGTCTCTCCTCCTCAATAATAAAAATAGTATTTTCTCGAAACGAACCCAACATAGTATGCGTTAAGTACGAAAGGTACTTAACGCACTACTAGCCCGAGATAACGCGTATAACCAGTGATTTTCGGCGCGACGTTTTGAAGTACTTATCCGAATTTATCTACTGAGATTTGGACCGTTTTATCATCAGATCTAATTTTGTATTAACATATTATATCTGAGATCGATAACCCTAGATTTATGACAAACTTTAGTTAAGAATATTTACTTTATTCAGTTTTAAATACACGAATCTTGAAATTTATTAAACAACATAAGATTAAGACTTACAAACAAAACATATTGATCGCGTATTTTTACCTGTCTAGATTCCAGATTGTATATTATAGATACATTATAAAGGAAAATAAATAAAGAATACGTCTGTATGAAACAGGTTGATATAGTTAACTTCCATACTTACTGTTTACTTGTGGACGTGGCATACCTTGAACTAAACAAAACAAAAGCAGAAATTAAAGAAATATAACATTACAACAATTAAATACTTTATTCAAAAACAACCTTAATACAAACATTTACATATAGTGCCGTAAATATTTATATAACAGAGATTGTATTATTCTATATTATGTAATAGCTATTACATAATATAGAATAATACAATCTCTGTTTACTTATTTTAAAGTTCATCTTAATACAATAGACATTTATTAAAGAAATGATCTTTCTTCTAATCAATGATTCATTAAAGAAGTGGCTCTTATTAATATGGCTAGATTTTCACACATGATATATGATATGTAATCTATACTAATATATAAAGCTGAAGAGTTTGTTTGTTTGTTAGAACGCGCTAATCTCAGGAACTACGGGCTCGAATTGAAAAATTATTGAAGTGTTGGTTAGAACATTTATCGAGGAAGGCTATAAAACGTCGCCTAACTAATATAAAAGGAGATACAGCGGGAAATGAAAAAAAAATGGGAAAATTATTCATAATTATCGGTTTCCGAGGCGTACGCTACAAAAACGATTCAACAGTATCAATTATCGACTATTAGTCTTCAGCACGTTTGCACGAGCGTCTTATATATTAAAACATATATTTATTTGAACATACTTCGTAAAACACATAATATGTTTTGGAAGCCATATGTACATTCGCAGCCAACCACAACTGGAAATCTTAAATCATTACGGAACATATAGTTTCCGGTATTTTGATATTCCGTCCCACTATTGAGTTCACTGGAATTTTTAACCCAGGGTAACCACACGTAGTTGTAGTTTGATGGATCGGCTTCAATGCTTAGGGCAGTGGGACCTCGTCTCCGCAGTTGTGACCAGAGTACCCTTAATCGCGCCATCATATTGGCGGCAATTTTTTGACCTCGTGGCCACAGGTCGTGACTTTCCTGTGGATCCTTTTTCACGTTGTAAAGACAACCACGAACTAAAACATTGATAAATCGGTTAATTAATACGTCAATATTCTTAATTTTATAATATGAGCTCACAAAAAGTTAAGAGATAGTTATAGTAAAGAGATTGAAAAACGCATGACTCGGGTCGGTTCGGGGTCATGTCGGGCTTAGCACGATTTATATCTAGCGAAATGTTAGACGGACTTGTGACCAATAAGTCCGTCTATAATCTTCTATAATAGTGACGGCAATAAGGTATGGTAAATAATCAACGGATTGTGATTCGATCGGTTTTTACTATTTTCTTGAAGATGATTTTTTTTTCATTTTTTTAAATATACTTACTCAATGTTGGTACACAAGGCTGCTTATCCCTTACTGTGTCTGTCTGTTTCACCACAGACGCTTTTCTCGTGGCCATAACATCCCCATAGTCAAAGGTGATTCCCAATTTTTCAAACTCATTTGCAGTTTCTGACGATATGAGTGATTTATAGTAATCAGGGGGTGTTTCCTTATTAGGCATAAACTCCGCACCGTAATAATCATTTGCACTTGCATTTAAGTTTCCTATAACTAACTTATAATCGCCGACTCTAATAGCCGCATAAGGATTATTTTTATCATCTATCGCAATAAGTACTTCTCTTCTTGGAGACTGTTGCCCTTGTGTTATAGATGGCCATTGATTGACACCGTCAAGTTTCTCATTAATATGTCCACCAGCAGCCGCTATCAACGTGGGTAACCAATCTGTGACATGCATTAGTCCATCCCAAGTACGAGGTTTAAATGAGGTATGCCAAATTACTGCTGGTACACGAACACCACCTTCCCAGGGGGATTGTTTTATCCCTCTTAATGGTAAATTCACTCCCCAGTTATTATACATTCCGGTAGTGGGAGCGCCATTATCTGATACGAATACAATAAGTGTGTTTTCAAGCATCCCCTTTTGAGATAACGCACTCACTAGCTTGCCCACGCTGCTGTCAAAATGTTTAACTATCTCTGAAAAGTAAAAATAAATTTGTTACTTTTACACGACTTTAGTTCGATTCCACCATGGCAATCCGTGGTATCAAATATTTTCAAAAAAAAAATCTTAATTACTGTTTTGTGTACGACTCCGAATATTTGGAAATTATACGAGTGGTATGATGGTATTACCGAAATCCGAGCGGTGTCTGTACTCAGAATAAATTTAAATAATACCATTCTATTAAACTGCATCGACGTCAATGTGTAAAAAATTCGTTAAGTGCGTTTTAATTGTTCTTTTACAGTCTGTGAAAAGCGGGACGCCCGTGTTAAAATGGGTCGCGCTTTCGACCTAATTTGAATATTTCATAATTATGTGGGGCTGTGCCTTCCATCACCTATCTGCATGGTTGTAACCATTTATTTTAAATATAATTTAATTTAGTGATATGAATAATACTCCGACTTAGCGGGGACGACACAACACTAGTGCCACGCGATAACCGCGCGCGCCCCCCGCACTAGCTCAGAAACTGTCAAGTACGAACGTTGGCGCGCATTTTGTCGGCTAAGCCTAATTTTGTCTAATAAAATAATATTTTAGAATTTAACATTGTTTTTCCGTCCTAATATTAGCGATAGTTGCACAAAGAAATTAATCGAAATTACCAGCATAAAGTCGTCTGTTCGTGTTAGCGATATGTGTGCTTCCCAATTTCTTGTAAAGTGGAGGCTGCAAGGCTCCTCCAGCATTACCAGCGTGTGGTGCGTTTGATGTGAAATGAAGAAACAACGGGCTCGACGAGTTATGACCGTGGATAACTATTGGAAAGAATACAGAGTTGTTAATGTAAGCTTTCATCTGTCTGGCAATATCGTTGGCTGAATTTTAATTGACGTTTATCTCAAAACAATAGGTAGTATTCTATTTCTGGATCAGAAAATTACGTAGGATCGCGGACACAACAAGCAGTTTATCGTAGTGCAGCAAATCGGTTGTGATAAAAACGAACGTCTTATATAATAAAACATATATTTATTTGAACATACTTCGTAAAACACATAATATGTTTTGGAAGCCATATATATGTACATTCGCAGCCAACCACAACTGGAAATCTTAAATCATTACGGAACATATAGTTGTTGTGTAAACGTGTACAACGTGGTTTCGATTTATCTATTCACAATATAAACGATAAAAAACCGTATAAAGTCTTTATCTACATTAAGTTTATTTGTTCGTCTCTTCTTGAACGCTATTTCTTATTCGATGCTTTCGTCGTCCAAGGTGCACCATTCCAAGATCTTTCTAATCCATAATGACAAGATGACTTGGGATCACAGTTGCAACTTACTGAAGTGACTTAGGACTTAGCTACAAAAGATTGATTGATAAAAATACTTACTTTCAACTGCTCTATCCGTCAAAGCATCAAGGATGTAGCGGTCTTCCTTCAGTTGTGGTATGTCGTTATCAAACAAATCCAGACCAAACAATAATGTACCATCGGGCCACTGAAAAATAATTACCCTCTATTTTACATCTTTAATGGAAACTGAAAGATTACATATGGCATAGAGTACCTGAGTATGTCTTTAGGTTAATAAGTGTTTATATTATTCCTTAGAAGTTTATTCAGTTAGTTCTATGTTACCAAAACCTAGTTTATTATAATCGCACAACAAAGACAACGACTAATGGGATAATTTAGTTGTAATACTTTTTAACGCCTGCCATTTTATTACTTTGCGACAAATGGATGTTAGATAGGCGCTATCTATGTCCCGACTAAAACGATTTTTTCTGTTTTCGGAACAGGATCGAACTCGCTCATAACATATTGCGAAACTAAATAATAAACTGGGCCTAGGTGGGGACAGACATATTTTTGTATCCGCTCACCGTATTTTATAGGTAAACAGATCACTTTTTTTTCGCTTAAGAGAAAGACCTCTTATCTCAACCGCAATAAGCATCTAACTATTGAAACAAGGGCTATGGGCTATGAGGCTAAAATAAGAAGCTATTAAGTCTCACCGTCTCAGATAACTGGTACGTGTAGGAGTCTACGAAGCCTCCACGCATTCCATAATGACTGATAAATCCTCGATTTGTCGGCAAATATTCTTTCTGAGACATTCCGACATGCCATTTCCCAACTATATGAGGCTTGTAACCGACGTCGCTCAAATAAGCTGGCAACAACTTCTCAGTGAGTGGAATACCGCGATCTTCTGAGTTGTACAAAGGCACTCCTTGCATGCCTGAAACGTGTACAAAATAAAGCTTTGTTATCCAAACAGTGTTGAGTATAAACCAGATTTGAAGTCAAAGTGAACATCGACGAGACTTTGTACATGAGAGAGATGAGATTAGAAAAACTATGTTACTTCGTCGGTTGTGTATATGATGTCGGTATTACTTCAGTCTAAAATACGTTTTTGATATTGGTAAAGTTTAATGCCACTGAAATTTTATTATTAGGATCAAGTGTTTCACGTATAGTCTCAAATTTAAACTTATGAGTACATTAATACATAAATAATATAAGAATTAAATATATGACAATCATTTTGAATATCATACTTATAAATTTGTAATGCTGTTTTAAAATTGCATGAAACCAAATTTAGTTTAAGTTATTAAATTTAACGAAAACTCTTTCGCCTTATGGCTCTGTTCACGCAAACTTGATAGGATAAGGATCTAGCGTGTGTGAAAATTGTTATTGTACTGCGTACCAAGTCTCATCGGGTATTTCCCAGTAAGAAGAGCGGTCCTAGCTGGCGTGCATACCGCCTCGCTATAGTATTGTTTCAAAACGATTCCGCTGCTGGCGAGGGTGTCAATATTGGGAGTCGAAATCTGGTCTGAGCCGTGATATGAAACATCATTGAAGCCCTGAAATAGAAATATGAACTGCAGTCGAGTAGAGAGTAAATGTTCATTCACTTTTATGCTGAACCTAATTCCCCCTAGCTAGAAGAGGAAAACTTATGGTCTTTTTTATCATTTCTTATTAATAGCAAATAATTTAACAATCATCTTTGTTCAAAATACATTTGTTGTTGATGGTTAGATTTAACACAGGTTTAAAAAACGCCCTCACATACGTAACATTTGACCATTTTATGGCTGTTAATCAAAGCCATTGATCAGCCAATAACCTGGAATTTTCCATATCATTTATTTGACTTATTCTCAGCGTGTGAGAAAGTAAAATGTTAAGCCATTATTAAACTAAATAGCAAAGAGTATAATTAACAATTGTTCTTCGTAAAAATATGTTTTTAAGTTTTAAATAAAAATTATATGCCTCAATGATTAGTGCGCAAATTAGAGATTTAACTCTATTAAAATCACTTCGTGTTCAACATAAATTCCTACCGATATCCTTACAATATGTACTTGAAAGTAACGATTAAAATATTCGTTATTGATATTTATCTGCATAAAATCTGTATAAAATTCCTATTCAATTACAATAGTTACCCAATATTTTAAAAATACAATTCTTAGCGTGCACCACCTCAAAAATTATTATTAATACGCAACTATAAACTAATGTTTTGATAAAGAAAATTCATTTAGTTTTATGTCAAATCTTACTGTAAGTACCTAGCATTCATAATTTTATTTATTTATTTATTGGGTTTTACAACTTTTACCAAATTACAATTAAAAATAACTATATGGAAAGCTATAACAGTAAACCACAAGTTACAGTAGAGATAAAAAAGGCAAAAGAAGAGACGCGTGAATTCATGTGTGAATTTCGTGTGTGAAGTTCGTGTGTGAGGTCCGTGTGTGAGAACAGACGCACGTCTTATTTTCGCACTTCTAATATCAATTAATAACATAATGACATTACAGAAAATGATTTCTTATGGCCATCGAAACCAGTCCATATCGCGTTTTAAACGGTTAAACTGTTTTATTTAAAGGTTTACTACTTACGTAAAGTACAGACAATATTTATTGTACCGTTGTTCTACCAACTGAGCTACTTTGTGGTGTAGCGTTTACATAATCGGTTTTTCCCAATATTCAACATAGTAGGATATATAAGTATTAAAATACTTTTTCAAAATAGTCATTTGAATTAAAGAGAGAAATGTTTTATGATATCGAAATATTCCGTCCAGAGCAGTAGGTCCTAGTTCCAAGGACAACAATTTTTTTTCGTACGCTTTCCGGTTTTTATAAATGGTGTACGTATTACGTTTACTGCGATTAAACACACATCGTAGATTTTAAGAATAATTCGCCGATATGAATTATCATATTGGCGAATTATTATAGATTTAAAAAATAATTTATGTACTCGTTTAATTATGTTGGTTTAGTGGTACTCCCAACAAAAAAGGCAACATATCTCTTGTTGCAAAAGATATCATTCTATGCGAACCCACTTCATTAATTTCAGTACAAAATAAAAAACTAAAATTTGGACTGCATTTGTCGACAGCGTTGTAGTTAACGGCCTGTTTTAATGCCAGTAAATAGTATAATAAGGTTAGTTGAGATAATACCTTACAATAATAAGAATAGAAGAATAATACTAAATACTGTCTTTAGTTTACGCGAGTAGTACACATTTAAATAAAACACTTTAACGGTTTAAAACGCGATATATTAGATAAACTTATTTGAAAATGATTTTAACTTCGGCCCGATGTTTCGGATGCTTTGCAGCAGCCGTGGTCAAAATCATTTTCAAATTCGAAGTGTTTTATTTACAAGAATAATACTGTTTCCTAACGCGAGCGATAGCGACCCCTTGTGGCCTTTTTTTACAGGTACTGTTTTCAAAAAGGCTCGTTTATTTTTAAAAGTGGTAATTCATATAATTAAAAAAAAAACTTAATTCGGAGGTCGCCAGTATTATCTGTAAAAAAAAAGATCTAGTATTTTATTTGGAGGTGTGTTATGTCTGTTTTTTTTCAAGGTAGCGTTGTTAAGATGTTTGCGCACCGTTAATACTCAACAATAGTAATTAGCATATTATTTTACGAAGTTAAAACAACTATGCAAACAATAAAAGATTTCAGCTGTGCAAAAAATATATAAATCTTAATAATTCCTTTTGTGACAATGAATACACGTTTTCAAGGTAACAGTATATTATTATATATGATTTTGAGACATAAAATATTTTGTTTTACTACAAAACAATTGTATTATCTTCAGTATCAGTTCCACTTGATAAATATTATTTTCGATTTTCCGTACCATGTAATAATTGTACAGATGTCGAGCGATTTCAAATACACTTTAATTTTATCTGAACTTTCAATTTAAGTTCTGAATAAAGCTAATTTGTTTCGCTCAATGCTCCACTAGCCATCTTTTGCACAATCTTTTATATCGAACTCTTTTTGAAGTGGTTTTCGCAATTTATGTACCTGACTATACCTTATTCAACTGAAAATTTAAATTAGTTGTACCTATTTGCTCAAATACGTTATCACCGAACATTCGATTGTCTTTAGTTTGCTAATCAAATACCTTGAGTGACGTGTGGTTTCAAATTTGTAATTTATAGCCAAATATTTAAAATTCCCAGACTCAATGGCGAATTTTTATACCTACCGTATTTATAGTAAATGTTGTTATAGATTTAAAGTAAATAATTTAATAACATGAAAATTTGTTTTTTTTTTGTCATTTGCATATAAAAGAAAGACAGAGAAGAGATTGTTTTTCTTTTATTTTTTTAGTCCGTCTATTTTTACGTGGTCGACTAAAGTATTGCACTAATCCATTTGTCGTTTTTGTTATAAAGTTGGATTGTACAATATGTGTAAGATTCTTTTAAAATTGAATTATATTTAAACAGAAAACTGTATTAATGTAATTGTATGACAATAATGCATTGCATATTTTTATGTTTAATTTTTTATCATTTAAAAATTTAGCAAATAATAACTTCGTAAGTAGCTACTAAAATTTTCATTGTTTTTTTCGAAATGCACCGGAAGAGTCTAACCGCCCACGACACAGGGAATCCTAGTGTGGGGGCTAGCACACCCTATAATGAAATGTACAGTCTTGATGAATAAACAATTTGTATTTGTTAAATTATTTTACTGATTTTGACAGGTTTTGAGATGACAATACAAAAAAGTTACTCTAATAAAACAATTTAACTGTTGAAAGCATATGTACAATTATTGTATATTTTAAAATTACATTACACACATAGATTCTGAATTAACTTTGACACACAGACAAAGTCACTGCCAAACTACTATATTTTTAAAAATAATACCGTTGTAAGTTTGCATTCTGTATTATTCAGTGTTATCTAACAAATTATTTAGATTTTTGTATTTACCTCATTGACCTAAATGGTTATTAGACTATAATCGTATAATAAAATTAAGAATTAATTGATACTTACCAAATCGTCAGCCATTATAAAAACTATGTGTGGTGGTTGGACATCGCTTGTCGTTGTAGACACGGAAGCAATAGTCATAAGCATGCCCCATTTTTGCCTGAAACGATACATTTTATTTTATTAATTTATTAATTTGAAATATTTAAACTTAGAAGGAAGCAAAATATATAAATACCGAAGTCTGCTGTCGTGTGATCTTCATGATCTTATCGAGGTTTATTACATTTTAATTTTAACTATTTTGCTTTAATTTCAACTATATTAATATAATATAATAATTCCAGTCTTAGTCTTAGGCAAAAAACTTGAGTGTTTTTTGCCTAATTTAAAAAAATAATTGTTCAGTTCATGTACGTCTTAATTTCAAGTTCGTTCAAGGTTAAATTTAATTGATTTAGGTTATTTTAAAATAATCTAGAAACTAAAATAGTATACAGGAAAATTGTCATAATAAAACTTTGCTTAGGTCTAGAATAAATTATAAAAGTTCCGGGAACAAAACAAAATCAATCGATGTTACTACCATTTATTAGGCATATCTTTGCAGAAAAAGAAATTGAACTATTATTGAAAAAAATCGATGACATGTTTGGGCCTTGAACCGTTCAAATGAGTGAGTTCAAATCCAGTCCGTGTCATTTTTTTCTCATATCTGAATCGATTTTGAATGTAAATAATACCATCATATACATTAAAATGGGAACAATAATAAATTTATCCAAAGAGAAAATACCATAACGTTAGCCAGTTTGGAGGTCGGTTGGTTTTTATCTGTTTGAACCTATTCTCGTCAAATAGGTATTTTGTATTAGGCTCAAGGTTTTAATTACAGAATTGCAGTCTATTGTTTTCTATGATTCGTGATTCAAGACTATTTACACTTTATTGAGCGCCCTCAACCATAGCCCAAGGAGAAATTCAGTGGGTTTTTACACTCGATATGAAAATTTGTTCGTACTATGATAATTCTAAATTTTAATGACTTCTAGACAATAACAAATAGTTTTTATTAGCATATTTCAGATATTGACAGACAATAGGAACAGTAAGCTGTTTGAAAAAGGACACACTTACGTAAGTATTTTAAGAGTCCGTTTAGACTATGGAGAGCCCTGTCTTGGAAGCTAGGTAGGCTGACCCCAAGAAAACAGAATACTTAAGCCGAGGTCAGTCAGTAATTAAAAAACTCAATCGGTTCTATCGATTTATCCCACGCGACTACGGACATATTTTCCCATATATAGTTTGTATAAACGCGCTTTTTGGTTCGAATTGAAATTCTTTTCCTAGCTGCGACCAATTGGAGCGAACAAAAAGAGGAAAGTGTGGGATAAAATGGGAGACATTATTTATCTTTGAGGGCTTCTGTTGTGTGCACTGCGAAAAGCCAAGGACCCAAAAATATGTATAAAAGAATTATTCTTCTTTAAACGATCTAATAAATGTCTGCGACACTATATGTCTATTTATTCCAATGAACTCGCGAAATCCACCGGACGAGTCGCGGGCACAGCTAGCGGACAAGGCTATTCCACCTACGGGAAACATTTTTCGTTTTTTTTCGTCGTTTCCTTTTTAAAATTTAGAGATTTATCAAAACCAATATTAGTATAGTAAACAGTTCTCAGTCAATAGGGATAACAGGGGTTTTGTCGTAGGTATAAAAGTTGGTATACATATTTATCGATCATATCTTCTACTTTTATGAAAACCAAGTAACACTCAAGTCACTTTTTAGTAAGGACGCGACAAATGATATGATATTTCAGTAATTGGTAAAAAATAAATTAATTGTTTCTTATCAGAACATTTAACTTCAATTATAATATATGTATAAAGACAACATGCGCATTTTTATTAATATACTTAGCTGAAATAAGGTACTGAACAACATTTCAGGAAAGCACTGCGTTTACATATCTTCTGCATATACGAGGGGAGCATTTAAGAAGCACACTTCTGTGTCCAGTCAATTTTAATATTTTTTCATATTCCGGTATTCAAACTTCGGATCTGAGGGGCTTAACACAATGTTATTAACTAATAAACAACAGAAGCGGTTGTTTAAATTACAAGAATGTCGACTATTGTATTATATCTATGTATAATAAAAAATAAATATTTATATACATAAAAGTATAAAAACAACATCACAAGGTACAATTTTAACCCCCATCCAAGCTGCCAGTTTCTAGCGATTTATACAGTAAGTATAAATAAAAAAGTAAACATTTCACAATTTTGAAATGAAATAGATTCTTCCTCTTGTAGTTAACAAAAAACATGTTTACATATATTCATGCGAAAAGCCTATAAATTATTTTTATATAAAAACTGACTTACCAGAAGGATAACCCGTTAACCATTTTAATTTTTTTTTAACAACACTAAGATCTAACTATGGCACATTGTTTGGATATCAATTTAAAATTCGCCGACAATTATAAGTCCGGTGCGACCGGCTGCTAAACAGATACAGAAGTAATTCATACAACGGAGGTTCTATAGAATTGCAAAATAATTAATATACGGAGCTATTGTTATTGGTCTCAACTCCTTATACACAATTTACACTTAATCAGTTTAAACAGGACGTCACTTCATAGACGTGGTCTGGACTCTGGGAGTAGAACATTCGAAAAACTTTTTTTATTAACATTTTTATTACATATTAATTTTACATATAATAAAATGCTCTTCAACAGTTTTAAACGCGAAATATATTGTTACTTGTTTTTTAATTTAATTTCACTACGTCACGGCACGTCCTTTTGGACAATTTGCAGCAACTTTATTTGAATGTCTTACAAGATTTATTCGTTTATTTAGGGGAAAAATCTCGCAATTTTTTTTCTTATTATGTTTCAATATTTCCTTATCAAATTTGATTGAAATTGGGCTTTCCATTAAACATTTCCGTAATTTAAACATTATTGTTACTCGCACTGAACAGGAAATCTATTTTTTTAGTTTTTTTAATCACATGGAAAGCATTAACATTTTAACATGTTAAAAAAGACTTCGTGCGTCGTTCGATAAGCCTTTGCCTTTTCTTTGCTTTCGTCATCGTTTATATTTTGCCTTATACAAGAAAATATACAAAGATTTTTATCTTTATATTAATTATATTATAAACGTAATTTATCTATTAGGCTGTAGACTATACTTTTTTGTCACAAAAATGGCACATAACGTCATCGATAAATATAGTGGTACAAACAATGATCATCTATCGCAATTCGTTCGATGGTGTTAATTCTAATATAATGGCATATTTACTAGGCTTACAAGATTTAAACGGAGAATCTTCGACCTTGACTTTGCTCGCGGCAGGACGTAGATATCATTTAGTGTTTTTGCCATTAAATACCGAACTAACTGTTTTATACCCCTAGTACGCGTTATCTGAAACAGATACAAAATCTTTAGACTTTTGCAATTTTTGTTTCAATACAACAAAGTCTACCTCTATGTTGTGCCAAGATGAAGTTAAGTATACATCGGCGTCATATGCGCAAAGGGCCGAACAGTAATTTTTGAGATAAGCGTTAAAAATCTTTTTTTAATCTGTCACTCATATCTATTCAGCTTCTGATACTTTTATATTAGATGTAAAAATGGATAACTTTAAAACTAATTTATTGTCCTTCTAGCTAGGATCGCATTTTAAACCGGTATATAATAGCCTTTTAAAAAATCGATTAACATATCCTTAGTCGTATTGTAGGTATATAAAAATGTACATTTTTTCTTTAGAACCTGAGCAGTAATTTAGATAAATAATGCGAGTTTCCGTTCTACGTACACTAATAGTTGCTATGAAGGATAGATAAAGGAAAAAATATTACAGTTCATGTAACGTCTTACAAATAAACAATATAATATTAGTTATATATGGTTTGACACTTTATTTGTCATGTTATTGTCTTAAGTAAGGTAAGTATATATAATTGTGAGGTTACATTATTTTTTTTAAATAAGCGATTAAATAACTTTATCTTAGCACAATATTTGTCGCCTACTAGAACTATCTATACAACTTCGTAGTAATCAAATTGGATTATAACTGAATATAGGCCCAAGTTATTATATTAGTTGAAAAACGTTTTCTCTAAAGACTACTCCAATTCCTACGAAGTTGACCTTGATCCAAAAAAATGTAATAAAGACACCAAATTTTCTAACATTGTGAGTGCGATTAGAAAACGGTTTCGCAAAATACAACGTTACGTGTTTATTGACATTATATTTAGCGAAAGCCTGAAAGCACTCTAGTAGTTTTGTTTTTAATCGATACTGAACGGGTGTTAGGATTATATTTAAACTAGTTGTGCCCGCGACTTCGTTCGCGTGGAATAGTGACTTGGGGTAGAATTTTTAATTATTTAGGCTGTTTATTAAATTATGTAATTGCTTATTTATCGCAGCCAATCTATGTTGCAAGTGCTACTTTGCCGCAACACTCTCACCTCACATCACTCCTGCTCTAACTCCCACTCCCACTTTCACTCCCGTCCCACCCCCACTCCTATTCTCAAAAAGCCAAAGAAGAAAGTTTCAATATTCTATCTTCAAAAACCACGAATTTCCATACAAACTTTTACCCCCCCTTTTTACCCCTTACAACCCCCTTTTCGCAATAAAAAGTAAAAGCCTATGTTATTTCTCAGGGTCTAGACCATATGTGTACCAAATTTCATTCAAATCCGTCCAGTAGTTTTGGCGTGAAAGAGTAACAGACAGACAGACAGAGTTACTTTCGCATTTATAATATTAGTAAGGATATATCACCATCAATGTCCTGTTTAACTATAAGTTTAAAATAACGGCACATACCTCGCCTCGAATGTGTGTATTTTGTATAGGAGGTAAAATATTGGTTAGATTAACGTCAAATAACAAAAGCGTGGCAACAGTAGGCTGGCAAAAGAAAATTTGGACCGTCACCTTTACGTTTACTTTCGAGAAATAAATTTCTTGCGATACAGAAGAACGATCTTTGGCCACCATTAGTTTCAGTCCCAAAAATATTCTTCTGTGACAATGCTAGCAGAACCAGTCGCACACTAAAACCACACTTAATATGTAACAGTTTTAAAAGGTTTTGCAAAATTACTTACCTCATACAAATTTTGTCCGAAAGTAATTGGTTTAAGGTAATGGTCCTTGGTGTGGGTTTCATAATCAATAGTCGGACGTCGGTTATATTATGACGTCACAATTCATTCGATACTACGTAACCAATACTTACAGCTTAACCACGAAGCAGTAGTATTAAGAATAGTACATAATATAAGCTAGTATCGAAATAAAACGTGATACGGCAATTTGCGTTCGGGTCTTTTGACATTTTTAGCTCGCGGGAACAATGTTATTACGATTATAAGGCAATCACAATCATGTTTGTGTTGCAATCCCTTACATTTTTTCTACCCTTCATTTTTTTACAACTTATCACATCCTTAAAATACATTTTTTTTAGAACAGTTATGTTTAATTTTTTATAACTTTTGTTCTTTGTCAGATTTAATTGTTATTCAATTTGTACGTCAACAACGTCTTAATTTGCATGTCGTATATTTACAAGGTTAATTTTTAAGTTTTTTTACTATGTTATTTTGGGCATACAAATTCGTTTTGCAAACCTTTATAAACTTAAGCTGTTATCCACGACGTCGGTTGATCCGCTTCCCGTCGTTTTTTGCAAGATAATCTCAGAAGACATATAGCGTCGCGGACTTTTATTTAGATCATTTAAAGAGAAATCATTCTCTCGTAAATATTTTTTGGGTATATTGAACCGTTTACGCCTCGGAAACCCATAATCATGAATAATTTTCCCAATTTTTGTCACATTTCCTGGTGTATCTTCGCTTCTATTAGTCACAGTGCGATGTTTTATAGACTATAGTCTTAAATACTGTCTATAGTTTACGCAAGTAGTACACATTTAAAGAAAACACTTTAACGGTTTAAAACGAGATATATTAGTTAAACTTATTTGAAAATAATTTTTAACTTCGACCCGACGTTTCGGATGCTTTGCAGCAGCCGTGGTCACGGGGAGACGGGCCGTAGTCAAAAAGTATCGCATATTAGACTGTTAAAGTGTTTTACTTAAATGTCTTATAAACTAAATACATTGTTGTGAATTTATTGACCTAAGGAGCAATTCATATTACTGCCAGGCGATCTTGTCATTAACGAAATCGTTCAGACAATAATACGCCTTTTGAGACAATCTAAATTGTATAAATTTCTTAAATTTATTTATCGATAAATTAGAAACCTCGACTGGCAATGTATTATACATAGGAATACAATTCGCTGCAAATGAATCAGATATTTTATGGAGCCTATATTTGAGGATAGCTAGTTTATCCTAATTTCGTAAGTTCAAATTATGCCTATCACTATTCTTGCTTTTATTCTTAGGGGCATACAATACATTTTCATAAATATACTGCCAGTACACCTGACTTTTTTACAACACAAAGATACATTAAATGTTGGCAGCGTTACCCCACAGTAGTATGCCATATGTCATAACACTGTGGAAGTAGCTGAAGTAGACTAGGGAGAGGTAATATTAAACTATGGTTTAGCACTCCCAATAAGTTTCCTGAAAAAAGTATGAGTCTCCACTGTGCATAATGATACTTAAAAAACTTATTTGCACAATATGGCCATTTTTTTATATATAAAAAGGTGTAGCATTTTATCGTAAACAATATTTTTTTCATTAGTACTTTTATTTACACATGAATTACAAAGCAATAAATTTCAGATAGATATTTTTATTATAATGATAATTTCACGCGTTTTATTAGTATTAGAGTATTAAATAAAAACAGTGATAAAGGGTTTTATAAGGTTTATTACACCAAGAGAAACACTAATACTACCCACATTTATTACGTAGACAAGAATGTATATAATGTAAAAATAAAATTATGTAATATTTAGCTATATGTTAAATGTATTTAGATTTTTAAAAAAAACTTCTGGCAAAACGCAATTGTATAGATTTGAGATCATATTAGTTGCAATAAGTTTTTCATATACAACTGGTATGAAATTAATTGATAGATTGAGATTATATACGAAAATTTTATTGCAACATAAGGTAACACTCGATGAAAGTATATTCAAACAACCAACTCCTATGTGATTGAAAAATTCTGCCTTTGTATTACACAAAAGGTCACAATCAATATCATGTTGTTTTAATGAGAAAAACATTTATTATTACGATTCACAAGGACGTTTTAGTAATATAGCTAGAAATATTAATACTATAAATAGAAAATATTAATAAAAATTAAAATTGATTAAACTATGACTAGAATGATTTATTAAAAATCATACAAGACTTTTATCACTATAATTTATCAAAATGAGATCAAGTAAACACAGTACATAAGAAACATAAATTGGAACAACAATTAACAACAAACAGTACCTAAATAATTTAAATAGTTCTGTGATAAGTACTTTATAAAAATAATTGCACATTTAAATCAAGCATTTAATTTGCAAACAATTTCCTTTATTTCCTTCAAAATATCATTATTAGTAAATGCTACAATTCCATCTTTATTGCAATACTCTTGCGTATCTAAATCATTTGGATCGTTGTATTGAAGGGGAGATAACCCTTTATAGCTTAAAATATTTCCACCTAAGGCACATATAATGCTGTGAGGTCCACATGTATCCCACTTGAATGTTGTTCCTTTAGAAACAATATAAGCTGATGCTTCTCCTGAAAAAAAAAGTTAAAAGTCAATAAAAATCTGAAGTAAAACTTTATTAATACAGACATAGCAACGAGATTTGTATTAGTTTCATACGGGTAAAATTAAATTTGTCTAAAACTGTAGTATGTATTATCCACATATCTTTAAGGATTACCCAGGATCAAAATAAATGTCAAATAAATAAAGCCAACAATATTAACAGTTCAGGTGATATAAAATAAAAATGGCCAAAATAAATAATGTTAAGATAATGCATATGTAACTAACTGTCTAGAATACCAGACTACCAAAGGTCTTTCTGCAGTGTGTATTCAAAATGCTATAGTTACTTCATATCTTCATTATATTTGGTGTTCAACATTAAATGCCAGTTCTTCTCGTTCGTTCTACACCCTTGATTTGGACCGGTAGTGAATGTTAGGTTAGATTCTTTCGTTTTGTGACGTTCACAAGTGCACATGAATAAATGATTTTTGACTTTCACTTTGAAATAATAATAATAATAACAAATCACTTCAATTTGTTTAAAACAATATATATAAAATAAGATATAAGGTAAACCAGAAGTACTAAGTTGTAGTAAAGTCACTGATTTTTATCAAAACCTTCTTTGTTTACTAGACATTGCACATATCAATCATTTAATGTTGGAAAATGATAAAAAAATAGGATAAACTAAGTTTGTTTAATATTTAAGATATATGTTTAAGATGCAATTACCTGATGCTACTTTTAACAGTTTATGGCCCGCTCCAGGTACAGAATCTATTTCCCAACCCAGATTCCTAAACTCATTGATCACAGCAGGATTTTCAGAGCTGCTCATTAAAATTACTTTTTTTCCCTGGTCATTTCCAATATTTGAAGAGTAATACTTTTGGTCACCGTAGTTCACACCCCACACTATTTTTACTTTAGATCTGAAATAAAAAAGTTTGTATCAATTATTGTTTAAAATATAGATTTCATTTTCATTAAATTAAATCATTACAAAGTACACACCCATTGAAAAATGGTTGATTGATTACTCCAGCAATTGGTTCTCCGGTAGACTTTAAGTAAGCACCAATAAGAACTGTTACACATGGAAGTCCGTGACCTGATTCAGCATTGCCATGAATACCAGAAATAAACTCAGCTGTACCATCTGTAATTACATTTAGTATTTGTGAAAGCGAAAACTTTGCTATTTCATGCAGTGAATGCAGAAATACAGTTAGTTTACCAATAGGATCTATCCAAACTCCTAAATCTGAATAATCCAAGTTTAGGAGTTCTTGAAGGCTCTCTATTTGAATATCTGTTACATCACCATGAGCTGCTTCTGCCATATATCTTGCAGTCTCCTCTGGTAAAATTAATTTAAGCAAGGCAACCGTTTCGTCTTCTGTTTCCTTTAAGGATATAGTTATACCACCGATCTCAGCACATTCTTCACCTCTAACATTGTTAGCCAGTTCTGGTATCCGCGACACTATGAATGCTTTTGCAGATTCCTGGGCCAAAACATCAGCTATAGTCTTGAAATCTTTGTCAAATCGGGGATTGGCGTCACTTTCTTTTTCTGACACTAACAAGGATTCACCACGGCCTCTACAACAAGACCGGGCAATGCGTGCTGCTTTTTCTGATGCATATATAAGAGTCTCGACGAGATGCATAATGTCTACTTGTTCCCAAGACAAATTAAAAGACTTAAAATACCAAAATAAAATAATATTATTTTTGAAGATATATCAGTGAGTGCCTAGTGCCTACTATATACACTGTAGAGAGACAAGCGTGTGGTCCAACTAGGAATACAATATATACTTCTTAATTAAGTTATAATAGATTTTTTCTCTCGCGTATAGTAATCAAATGATTATAAACAAAGAATATAAGCGAAAATCAAGTTTCCTTTTGACAATTAGTATAAATTATAAAGATAATTTATACTGTTTTTCTGTCTGTTGAAACTAAGTACATACTTAATATTAGCAATTCACATAGTACTAACGTTTTATGTTCGTTATAGTACTTATATAGAGGATCGGTATATTATTAAAAATCAATATTAGCGCGCGTGTTAAGCTGATATTATTATTAAGAACTAAGAGCAATATAAGTCTAAAAAAATTAAGCGCAAGTAAACCAGCGGGTGGACGTAATGTCTCAATTAATATAGCCTGTATCACGCGCAATACTACAGACAAAACATGCTGCCTATAATATTGTAGTAACAAATTTGTGGAGACTATCTTGTACAGAACAAGTGCATATTTCTTAAAAAAATAGGAAACGAAATCTTCAACATGAATATAAGTTAAAATAAAGTCCTAATTGGCTGATATTCTTTATTGTTTTAATTTATTAATATTAATTCTCCTTCAGTCCGACATACTAGAATCTGAACTCCTGCTTTTCTTTTTTTTCTTCTTCTTGCTTTTTTTCTCTTTACGATGCTTTTTCTTTTCTTTTTCCTGTAAAATTTAAAGTAAGTATTAGTACTGATATCCTTAAGTCTGTCATCTATTTATATTTTTTTTAATAAAAGTTTGGTTTACCTTTTTAATTACAATATTTTCATTTTGAGGAACTGGAGCTGGTGCACATCCCTCGGTCCTAATGGCAGCTGTAACTTCATCCAACTTAGACATTTCAGCATTTGGAGCCTTGTACTGTTCACAATGATCTACTCTGATAGTTCGTCCTAATATCTAAAGCAAAGATTGTTTTGTAATTACTTTTACACCATAACAATAAAATAATAAGTTTTAACTATCAACAACAAAAATAATAGAAGAAGAATTAAGACCTTGATTCCATTTAAATTATCCACTGCAAGGATGGTTGATCTTTGATCTTCATAACAAATAAATGAAAATCCTCTAGATTTTCCCGTGGCTTTGTCTCTTACTAAGTTAATGTTAACTATCTCTCCATATCTGCAAGATTAAAATATATAGGAGAACATGAACTTAATAATATTAAAAAATACATTGTTAAGGTTCTCTCTAGTACACATATATACAATTGCTTACTGCGAAAACACACAAATAACATCTCCTTCAGTCAGGTCATAAGGAAGTCCACCAATAAAGATCCAAGCACTATCTTTATACTGATCGTGCCATGAGCTCTTAGAATTTCCAGATAGCTCCCGTTCACTTAGCTTTAAAACATTTTTTATATTACTGAAACAAAGCATTAAATATTATTAATTTTTACGTTTTGGTTGCTATACTGATATTTCAGTAATATGATAAGTATAATCTTCATAACTCACGTCATAGGATTCATTTTGAACCGAAATTGTTCTTTAAAAAACCGTAAAAATAAACAAATCGGCAAATGTAAGTTTTAATAACAGGATCAGCACATTTTATATTGGATGAATGATTTTTACTTTCACATAATTTTACTAATCGCATATAAAAGTGTAATCACAACTTGACAAAATTATTAATAATAATTCAATTGCTTAAATATATCTACCAAATTACAAAATAACACATTAAACAACGACAAAATGTTTGTTTTCATTTTACATTACTAAACGTTAAACACATGGTTAAAAACACAGACTAAAAATCAGCAATCAAGTCTTCTTCTTATATTTTAATTGGCAGGGCCACTAAATTAAGAAGAAGAATACTGTTTTTTGACAGTAGAGTAGAGTAATTTACGTTTACGTATATGTATTATGTATTTATCTTTATTAAATCAGTGTTTGTATTTATTCGTACTTGTTCATCGAAAAGATATAAAGGTTCGCATAAAAACTCATTAATGTAATGGCTACTCCTACTCCAGATACACCTGAACAATATGATCAGGTAATTATATTTCTTTGTCAATAGATAATTATAGTACAAAATATGAAACAACGTTAAATCAAATATCTGCATGATTTGGTCAGTTTGAAGATGAGGAGTCTGAACAGCAACTGGGGTCTACAGCATCCGGAAGGAAACGATTGTTTAGTAAAGAACTGAGATGTATGATGTATGGATTTGGCGATGATCAAAATCCGTACACTGAGAGTGTAGATTTTTTAGAGGACCTTGTTATTGAATTTATTACTGAAACTACTCATAGGTAAGTTAACATTTTTATTTTTCTTGTTGGTTGATTCATGATTAAATTAGAGATTAACGGTTTATCAAGCTTTATTTAATGGAGTGATAGCACTTGAATTATTCACATACCATGGTGGATTGTTGCAACTGTTTTAAAACACTTTTTTAGTACATTTATAGATAGCTATATAGATTCCTTTATTTACGACTTTGGCTAGTATTATATTTATATGCCCAGTTATTTTTTTTACTTGAGCTCTAATGATGAAGATTCCATATATAATTTTTAGAGCCATGGAAGTTGGCAGACCAGGTAGAGTACAAGTTGAAGACATTATATTTCTAGTTAGAAAGGACTTCCGTAAATATGCCCGTGTCAAAGACTTGCTTACAATGAATGAAGAATTGAAGAAAGCCAGAAAAGCTTTTGATGAAGTCAAATATGTTGGTAAGTAGATATTTTACAGTTATGGAATGATTTTAAATAACTTTTGATATAACAGAAAATTGTGTTTTTGTCTTATATTTAAAAAGTCTAAACTTTCATATATCTAAAATGAAGCATTCTTATACTTATAGAAGATCAACAATAGTATTGGCAGTCCATGCGATGCCCATGCTTCTAGACTGATGCAAGTAACAATTGATTTACATATAAACACATTGCTTTTGTGTTGCACTTGGATACTAATATATAGGATAATGAGCATATCTAGTCTGACTAACCTATATTTAATTGTTAATTGTATTGCTGATCTTCTACTTGGAGTTTTAAGCTTTTTGTAATTGAAAAATTATTTTCGATGTTTAAGTGTCACAAGTGGATGGCATAATCGTATTTTGAGTGTTTCTTGACTGAACAAAGACTGATCTTTTGTTAATATCAGTCTGATGAGTAATTTGTGATCACGAGTGTTTGAAATGACGAGAATCATTTCTCAATAACAAACCGCTTGAAAAGCTGAGTAGAGGCTGTTAGGCCGTTCAATTTGTATTGCTACTATATGTTGTACATAAACCAAAAACAAAATAGCATAGTTAATAGCAAAATTACAGTTAGTTTCCATCAATTCAAAATTGATTATAATTCTCCTTGCTGAACACTAAAAATTACACAGTATAAAGTGATACTTTATGGATAGAAAAATATATAAGTGAGATTACATTATTAAAATTTATATGGTCTATGTACATCCAAATTATATAATTGCCAATAAAATAAGCAAATCGTTATTGTATGCTAAAAAACATTGTTATCTAGCTCAATCTATTCATTGTGATTGTACAAACTCATTAAACAGGGGTACTTACTTATTTGAATAAACCTAGTGATAATATGTGTCCCTTATTTCAGAATGATGTAAAAGCAAATTGTGGACCAAATATGTAAGTTACATTAACCTGAATAAGAATGAGTAATTTATAACTCACAATATAATAAATAATTATTGCACTAATGGTTTTTTCAGATTTCAGAAGGCTGTCTTTCGTGTTATGTTGAAAATGATGTTATTGCACTTGGCAGCAGTTAAGCTTGTTCTTCAGTTTATGTGGAAGCCAATATAATTTATAAAAACTAATAAGTTTTATTTATTTACACTTGAAACATACCAAATGGGACTAACAAACCTCATTAGGTAGTTTTTAAATTAAAAGATTTCAAAATAATATTTGGGTACTAAAGAAGATAGGGTATTTATTAAAGGAATAGAATCTGAAATTATAACAATTTATAACACTTTTATGAAACATGTAGTTTTTTATAATTAGGACAAAATATGAATAAAAAACGGGGTTCTCCATTTTATTCTTTATTGTGCATAATAAAAACTTAATAATACTACAATAAATGTACTTTTCAAACATGGAACAAAATATACATTATCAATTTCAGATTTGCTTTTCAAGTAATGGTTATTAAGATTACGTAAAATTTAAATTTAACTTTTTTAAACAAACAAAACGGCACTTACTTTAACCTAATCCTATGTTACAGCAATTGTATTATATACTGCGCTACAGTAATGTATAAATATTAAAAATCTACATGAAATATTTAAAAACTGTAAATCACATATTGGTGATATAAATAATGTAAATAAAAATATTTCAGGTGACTAGACCTGTTTAAAACAGCCAAAATCTACTTTGGTTTTAGAATATACTTCACAACAAATTGGTCAACATGTTATTATAATATATTAAATATTTCTTAAAATAAATAGGCCATTTTGGCAGTGAAAGTGTATCGTACTAACATATGTTAACACTAAGTAATCTAAACACTGGCAAGTGATAGAAAAATTATAAAATTAGTGGGTATGTAAAATATTCTGAAAGTGGAAAGCAATGCACACAAAATGCACGTTTATCATCCGAGGAAGATCTTATTTTGAGCCCCTTAATATCACACTAAGACTAAAGGTCACTTCTAATAATAAACATATTAATGTTTACAACATTATAAATGGGATTTAACATTATTAAAAACTATTATAGAACATCAAAAAATGTGTAAAAATTAGTGTTAACATTCAATAAGGCAAGTTAACCTGTAACTTTTTAAGTTATTTGTCATATATTTCTTATACATACAAAATGTTAAGAAGCAACAGAGTATTTTTTTAATAATCGAGATATAATTATATCACTGAGGTTTAAGACCACTTCAATAATTTCAAAAGAAGTCATGGACTTACCACATTGTTCAAAACGACAAACAGATTTTAGTCAATAAAAATCAAAATTTAAAATACTCTTAATATAAATAGTGCCTTATAATAAAAATGAATTACCAGGTCCTGCTAATGATACGTTAAGTATAATCAATAAAAAGGGGGTTTCATATACCTAGTCACAGTGATTTATAGGCCAATTAAAGCATAGAAAAATTCTACAGTGCAATGAACGAGAAATTGTGATGTTAATCAGTCGGTGGGTCCATGGCAGCAATTATAGTTTTCATAACAGCAGCAGCAGTTAATGCGGCATGTGGCTGCCATTCCTTTCCACGAGTACCGTCGCGGTAGTCAGAGATTCCTGTAAAGTGCATGTATAAATAAGAAGGGTGTGTTGAAGAAATAAGTTTGTTTTGAAAAATATATGTTCATAATACAAATGACTACCGCTGATAGAATGTTTGCACATGCGTACATATTTTGTTTGTATTTAGCAGTTATTAAGCGAGGCAATTTTAATAAACAACAAAAATGTAACACGGGCGAAGGTGCTTTGTAAAACAAATATAATAGTTAAACTCGAACGTTTACTAAAACGAGCTTATATACTTCGCTACTTATTTTAGGTTTGAAGTTATTGGATATTACGCTCATATAACATATACATTAAGATACCTCGAATAGATATGAAACAGTCCTTTCTATTTCCCACGACACTGTCGAGCACCGCATCCAGCTCGCAGTCGTACGCAAGCGCGCGCGCCTGTGCCGCAAATGCAGCGCGAACTTCGCCGCCGCACGAAACGCTTCGACCGCCTGCTACTGGTGCGCAGTGGACGCGTGCTTCGCGACTGTAAAAGAGAGTAAAACATTTAATTAAGTTTCGTGATTCACGATATTGTATAAATATTAAAACACAAACTTCATCGATTTTAAAAAGCCCAATTGCTAGCCAACTATATTTGTTCTTAGTTCGTAACACGGCCTTCCATGTAATCCATCCTTTTTTGCCGGGCTAGTCCAATAGTAGCAATATATGGCTAATAACTAACGGGTCATGGATTCAATTCCCACTGGGTCAAAAATGTTGGCCTTCGTCTGGAAATATGGACAATAAATGGCGGCAGGAGAATCGAAATTTCGCCCTAGTTATGAATGGCCGTCTACAGATGAAAGCTTTCGGTCTACTAATACTTTCACTCTTTTTCTACTTTACTCGGGTCAATCTGATAACCAGCACCACTGAGTGAGACCAGGACTTACCAGAACAGGTGAGAGTGGTACGATGGCCTCTAGTTATCTATTTACGTTTATTGTATTACGGATTTTATTTTGTAGATATAAGTTGACCTTTTTATATAGCTTTTACTATAAGCTATATAAAAAGGTCAATGACAAGTTTGATTTTGAATTTCTAAAACTACAACAGGTACGTAACTTTCCATCAAGTGAATTTCATATATATATATATATAGAGTTCATTAGTAGTGCATATAATATATTTACGTTTGTTCGCCAATCGGTGCGGGATGAGAGACTTCTATGAAGGCGCCGTCTCCGACGTCAACTGTGAGTCTGTCGGTACCCTGTTCCGGGGGCTCCCACCGGCCTGGGACGCCCCTGAGACGCTCCAATCCTATAATTCAGATGAAGTAATAATCAAATACGTTGCAAAAGTATTTCAGAAATAATATTAATTTATACTCCGTTGGTGTAACACAGGGCTTTGGACGTAGGTTCAACTGGCTTTTCTTTCATTAAGTTTTAAAGAACATGATACATTATTTATAGGGTGACGATAAGAGACGAAAACTACTTTATATGGTTTACTTAAGCATTATTAACCATAAATTTGCCCTGTTCATCAAACATTATGGCAAGTATAAAATCCTGTGTATTGTCTAAGGGCATAGATAAGAAGTAACATAAAACAATGAAACAAAAGGATGGGTTAATTTTTAATGTTAAATGGTTTTTTTGTGCCTACATATTTATAAAAAAGATATGCATATACAAAGATGCACTTTCAAAAATCTGGTATATCAGTAGTTAACAGAATTCGCCCCTAAAAATACCTTCTTGCACATAGGCAGTCCACAAAGAGTTCGAGTGTGCAATTCTCTGCGCGAGCTCTTGCAGCATAAAGTTCATCGGTTTGTAGGGCTTCACCTCGTAGTCCCAACCGCCTTTCGCATTACGTTCAGCTTTCTCGCAGAAGACGTATACGTGCCTATAAAGAGACAGAAATATATTAAGATTTTATTTTTTTCCCACATGTTGGTCAGACCCCCCCCTCACACACACACAAAATAGTAATAGGTATAAACATTAAACTTGCATTCGGTCAAAATGTGATATCTAAACGAATTATTAGGGCGTTTTCAGGCTTGATAAAGCTCGCTAGGATAATAGATAGCAAATAATACGCAATCAATTTTAAGAAACTCAACTTGCTACAGTTATAGGAAAACAGTTTAAAGGATAATTTACATAATATTATTGTATTTATAGTCCTTATTAGAAGCGATTAGTAGTTAATTGTTACTATCACGGTGTTTATGAATGGAGCAAAATACGAGTATTACCCAGTAACAATTTGTAGGCGCCGTGACGTAAATGCAGCGATGAAATCAGCACTAATTGACAATTAACCTCACAAATTTGAGGTTAGCGATGTACGGAACGACCCCGTGTTTTCTCGATAATCGTTGTAGAGCTATTATGTATATATTTTTACGAGTTTAAATTAATTTATTTAAACTCGTAAACTCCGTACTTCGCACCGCGTATCCCCCCGCTTGTCAATTGTTTTGGAGTTAGCCAGAAAAATCGGTATAACACGAAATACCCCACAAATATTCGGAAATAAAACATTTATTCTTTTATTTGTATTGGTATTGGTGGTAGTTTACGTGAGTAGTACACATTTAAATAACGCACTTGTAACGGTGCCAAACGCGATCGATTTACTTCTTAGTTAATTTATTTTAACTATTGCGAAGTTTCAAATATCTTTTGAACCGTTAAAACTCTTTTATCTGTAGTCCATTTTCTAAACCTTTAATTTGAAGTATTGATGTTATTATATTAGAAGAGACAATAACAAATACTACAAGCTATAAAAATCGATCAATTCTAGAGTTGCAAGTGTCGAATGAAGCCGACCTAATTTTTAATATAATATGTAATCAACAAGTACTAAATAATATGATCAAACCACAAAAAGCGTTACTACTTTTCGGTATGAACAACAAACAAGGAAGCAATTAAAACAAGAGGACACACAACAAAATGACTTCCTTCAGTTACCTCTAGAAAAAGAGCGGCATCTTAAAAAAAACGTATCAATGTATTTATGGTGAGGTTTTTTAAAACCACTCTACTATTTTGGCTAGGCTGGTATTTACGCGTAAGGTCGCCATAGCTTTAAACATTAAAGCGACAATGTAGAGTTAATGAACTATAATTTTTAAAACCGAAAACGCTTTTGAGCCTTGAACCACGTAATTATTGTTTCGTTTAAAATTTATGATTAAGGATGATACATTTTTATAGCCAGAGTCATTTAGAAATTCCGCGAGGGTTTCCCAAAGAGTTTCCTTCTTCAGGTGAGCGGTGACATATCAAGAACGTGTCACCAATAAAATATAGGTAATTTAATATTCCAACATTGATTATTATTCATACCATTGCAGAGCTGAATTTTTAATGTTTATGTCATACAAATTGAGATTAGCGTCAGGGTGTTTCGAGGTTGAGAATTATAACATTGATCTACTGAGAAACCAGAGGACGTCGTGAGTCAGTTCTATAAGGGCCCAGATAATTTTTAACTTGGACATTAGGGACACCGCCCATTATTAGCCTCCCAGTGACCACGTCTAATGCGAAGCATTCGAAACTTCACCGTTGTTAAAATAAATCGCAAATAAGTTAACTAATACATGTAAAATTTTTAACAGTTAAAGTTTTTCATTTAAACGATAACGTACATTATCTGAATTAACGTGAGTAATCTTTCAAGAAGTGCAGTTTAAAACGACTGCGTAGCGTGTATGTTTAGCAACAAAAAAAGCAGTTTATATGTTGACAATAAAGGAGTATATGATGTTGTCTAAATCTATATTTGTAAAAAATATTCCAATTAAACACACATTTTAATCCAGTACAATACATACTTTACGTTTACTGTGTTTTAACAGAAGTGATGCACATTAAAAAATGTTGGGATTTCCACCATTTCCTTAAAACTTATCTACAGATAATTTAAGTACCGGGTTTTCTCTAGTTTTTCATATAATAGCAAAAGGAATGTTATATAGATAGGTTAATGAGTTTGATAAATATTTTTCGCTTTATTTTTCCGTTTGTTATACGTACCTAAACCTTGAATTCATTTCGTACGAGGCGCCACCCTTGCACTTGCTGACTTATCTAGGCGACCGGTTTAAGTCTAAAGGCCGACCGGTTAGCAGCGTATACAATCAGATACATGTTACTTCCAAGTATTGTACCAATTAAACGTCACTATCAGTATCTTCTAATAACTAACGAAGCTATCTTCCGTTATTATCTTTCGATTTAAGTCTAAGATCATTAGTCTTAATGAATTTTATCATTGACGGTGAGGTAATTTAATAAATTGATGTAAATAGACAAATTTTACCCCCTATTTTCCTGTATAACTTGTTGCACTCTGCGTTCTTAGTAAGTACATCTGATAAATAAGCAAATAGATCTTGGATCCTACTAGTACTGAATTTTACCAAAAAATAGAGACATAGATTGAAGTTTACTGTCCTTTAAGCTGGAGATTCAAATGGAGAATACATTTGTTATTAGTCAACGGTAAAGTAACGTATTTTGTTTCTTGGTGAGACTGAGTTTTAGTTCGGCATAGTGGACCTTGGAGGAGCCTTTAACTGTTACATCTTTAAATCAATATCTCTTGATTAACTTCAAAACTATCTAGCTAAAGGGTTACATGATTTAAAAAAATTCGTTGGAATAGTAAAAAAAAGTTACTTTTCTGGCAAGTCCGTAGCTGGCGTCGAGACCACGACGTCCCCGAGTCGAACGTGTTTCTTGTAATCCGTGTAATGTGGCACTCCCCCACCGACGCCAACCAGAAATACATACTCCACCTACAATAACACATAAATTTACACTTGAAAAATGTACAGTGTGCACCTCAAATAAAGCGTTAAGTAAACATCGCTCTGAAACAGCTGTGATATTTTAACACACACATTAATAAAACTTCACTATTCCACAGACATGAGTAAGGACATTCCAAAGCTTCTCTTCTCAATGTAGAATTTCATATTTTCTATACGCTTAGGACATTCAAGGCTACTTCGCACCAAGATAATAAATACTGAACGCAGTCAAGGTCGTTTCGTTGTTCCTATAAGAGGATTGACGTTGATATTTTAAAATCGTGAATGCCACAATATTCATTTTGCTCTATACTAGTATATAAAGCTGAAGAATTTGTGTGTATGTTTGAAAGCGCTAATCTCAGGAACTACGGGTTGGAATTGAAAAATTGTTTTTGTGTTGGTTAGAATACAAACGAAGATACAGCAAGAAATGTGAAAAATAATTAGTATCATTATGGGTTTCCGAGGCGTATGCCTCTAAAACGGTTCTAGATACCCAAAGAATATGTGTGAAAGAATGATTCCTCTTTAAATGATCTTAAAAAATGTTTGCGACACTATATGTCTATCTTAAGATTAAATTGCAAGAACGATGGGAAAAGCGCAACCGTCGTAGTGGGTAACAGCTTAAGTTTATACGGATGAAGGGTTTTGCAAAAACCAATTTGGATGCCCAAAATAACGATTCTCGCGGACGAAGTCGCTGACACAGCTAGTAAGCAATAAATATCGGAATTCTGACACGTTTTTGAATACCTCGAGCCATGTGGCCGATTGGAATGTGTAACAGAGAGGTATATGATACTTGAATGAACCTGTGTACAAATTGCCTCAAATAAAAAGTTTAATAGGTTTGAAAAGACGTTCTACCTTGTAAATATAAATAAGATATTTGAAGGTTGAGAAGAATACAAGTCAGTATAGATAATTTTGTATGTGGATCTTCGTAGCCAGCACAATCGAATATTTTTCCTCATACGAGAAGGTTGAAGAATGCAAATTACCTCAATATAACTGTATATAGTAAGTGTATAACGGTCTCAACAGCTTTAGGACTATTTCAAAAGTAATATATGTATATATATAATGCTATAATTGGTCGCCAGCGAATCTTAATTTAGGACAGCGTTTTCTTCATTTTACTTTCATCAAATGAACATCATGTCTGTTTGTTCTTCTCCATATAAAAATAGGATTCTTCACAAAGTTTGAAAATTCTGGGCGAATTACCTTCTGGAAAATGCCCAGCAATCTTGTAGTTGTATTACCAGCTGCGGTCATAGCCTCCCTAGTGCGACCAACCGATGGCAACTTTGTGGTGACGACGCGATGAGCACCTATCGTTCCCAAGGTGTAAACGTTGGATTCACCTGTGGGCAAAGTTTTCTTTTGAGATCTTACACAACATTTACAGCAGAAATGTTAAACAGGTCGCTTAATACAACTGGAAACTCGGTACTTTCCCTATGCAAGGTTTATTCACACGTGACGTGTCTATTTGTATCTTCACAAAGAATGTTATAATTTTTAATAATATATTATTAGAAACCTGTTCACATAGCTTCAGCGTAATTATCATAATAGATCAATTGACATTTCGTTATAAGAAATTTAAAAAAAGAATTTTCAACTTATTATATTTATTTTTAATTCTCCAAACATGTCTAAATTTCATTTGATACAATGGAAATTTTAAAACGTGTTTATTATTTTTAAATTTAATGTTAATTCAAAGGTGACGCATTAAGTAATATTAATATAAGTGATTCGAACAGATCTCTTTAGTTCATTTGAGGTAAAGCACGTATGGCAATGTATAATGCTACAGTATATTATATTGTATGCATGTGGATTGTTGGCGTCAAGTTAGCGGTACAATGGAAATAAGTTTTAAAGGGAAAATAATAATATGTGTGCTACTGAGTTTGCTTAATAGTGATAAAGGACAAGCGTTAAGTGTACCCAATGTTAATAAACATAAAGACGTGTCAATATCCTATAGACTTCCTACGGAACTAAAGGACGGAACCATTGTAAAAATAAATGGTAAACTCTGGATTGATTCAATGTAAGCAAGTTTTTTGTGCAAATATTCTGAGAAGAAAGGTTTATTTATAAACTTTAGTTACTTGGGATTGAATTTAGTGTCTTAAAACCATAAACATTTCTAATCTTAATAAAGGGAAACCATGCTCGATTTTTTTATATAGTCTGGAATTGTAAGTGCTACAAATTCATAATTTTATTTCTACCGAAAGACTTGCTAATAATACAGCAATAATAAGCGACCGCGAGCTATTAAGTAACGAAGGAATAAGTATCGAAATGTTATCACTATTTATGTGGTCTAAAATGAGACCTCAGCTACAGCAGTTTACGCAAAAACCATTGACGTGTTATAACGGCTAAATTTGATGCAAAAACAGTGATAGAGATGAATATAAGTTATAACTGTTATCTCTTCTAATTATCATAACCAATTAGTGGGTTTTTACAATAAGGAAAGATGGAATTTGGCGCTTTAAAGAAGAGAAGCATAGTATTAAGACTATTTGTAAATTATTGTACGAAAGGATACAGTATTACTTTTATTTATCATCAGCTTTAGACCTTTGCAATTTTTGATAGTGGAAGAGTCGCCAAAGTTTTTTTTTGGTTTTGGTACATCCCGAATTACTTTGTATCGACTTGTAATCACTTAACACATAGCCGAAGGTCAGGTCAGAAAGTCAGGTGTTCTTTTAGAGAATATTTTTTTTTATAATAATGGGATAACGTTGATTTCAGATTACAAATACTACTGTCGTCAAAAGACGAAGATGTCTCTTATTGCAGTGTAGAATTCATTCCACGTAAAGAAGTTATAATACAAACAACCAATAAATACCCTTACATTCTACATCACCTACAAGGAGGTACGTTACCAGATCACGTTCGTTAATAAACGGTATCACTATTAGGAAGGATCTCACTTCTTCTTTGAAGTAGGAGGATAGACAAGTTGGGTTTTACTTGTTAAAAGGTGAAATAGATGCGAACATCCACAGGATACACTTTCAAACTGTTTTAGTTTTACACAGACTGATTTTGAAAGGCTTTCAATCATTACTTTCTACCCCCTATCTATTATCAGGTTCGAGGCCTGGAACAACTTACGTTATTCTACCACCCTTGTAATGCCCTGACCTTCAGACCCGGTCGATATCAAACCCATCGGTTATTAGCAATATATTGTTAACATTGGGTCAACCGGTCCCCCCTTCAATATCACGACAAGATGGTATTTCTTGACAAGTATTTCTGGCGAATATCTAGTACATGCTAACATAAATCTTTGTTTCAGATTCGATAACCTTCACTTTACAAATGGATGCCCGTGCTTTGGACAAAGACATAATTGAGATGTACTTCGAGAGCAACGGCGCCGGCGTACACACACTCGACCCGTGCGTCATTGATTCCTTCAATAACGCGGACAAAATAGTTTTAAAGGGGGTTAAAAGAGTGGACAACTTGAATTTTACATATCCTGAATTATTATAACGTCATTGAGCTATTTATTATATACTCAAATTTGTGATATATCTTCTAGTCATTTAAGATAAGATCTCAATACCTCTAGCTGGTCTGGCTTTAGTGTTCGTGTCGATTAATGTCGGCATACATTTATTTATTAAATAAATTCGTTAAAATGGATAATGCTTTTATTTATTGATCGAGTGTGATCAATCTAGAAATATTTATTTGCGTACTAAGATCTAATATTAAACATCTATATTAAGTTAGGCTACAAACTATACAAAAATAAGGAAAGATAACTAACTTGCGTCAATTTTATGAATAATACAACACAATGCGTGCAAAACCCCAACAAAATGTGATTTACCTACTTATAATGGACTCATTATTACTTCGGAATCACGTACTCAGGTAATTATGATAAAACAAATTCTTGAGGCCACAGATGCATTGCTAGCTGACTTTATCTATACGGTACTGCTTTAGCAAAGGAAATCGTTTGTCCTTTGATGCACTGAAAATGAATGTGTGAAATCCCGTTTCAGCTTTGCATGCAAACATATCTGTATCCGTTTCACTGATCCGTTCTTTAACAGGCAAGTAGTTGATCAGACTCCTGTGCCGTGCCTGACCGAAACAAATTTTTGTTTCCCTGGGATTCGAACCCAGGACCTCTCGCGCTTAACACAATGCTAGGCAATACGTTTAACCATTTGTCTACAGAGGCGGTCAACTAAAAATGAGTAGGTAAAGGATTTTTTTTTTCTTAATAAACACAGTTTTTTCTGAGAATCAGATAGGTATCAGTTTAGTTATCTTGTAAAGGTCTACTCTACACTACATCTAATTTTAGTTACTTCCTAATAGTCTCTGTCCAATTTCCTTGGGATGAAAAGTCTAATAAATGATCAAAGTTATATAAGAGAGATAAATTAAAAATCGCATTCCAATAAAATGTGTTGATAGTTGATATCGATTACAACATTCCTACAATAAATAAGCATAACATAAAGGCGCATAAAATTTTATATTGTAAACGGTAACTAAGTCAATGTGTCATGATTTTTACGCGAAACCTATTTAGATAAAGCACTTCTTCACCCTTTACTAATCAGTTAAGAAACTCATACATATAGCTAACAATATACATATGCATTCAGATATTAAAAACTATTATATTCAGCTCTCTCTTTAGCGAACAATTGGTATAGCTGTACAACCAAGCCTACGCGGACGTCTTGAGAATCAACCGAATTAACTGTGCGCGTGATTGTGTTGCGATGCTCGTCTAAGGCGATTTATTTAGCCCGACTGTACCCATTTCAAGGTGTGTGGTGAAGTTAGGTAGGTACCTATACCGCGGTGTTTGTTTTTAACATTACGTCATCTCTAACCAAGCTTCAGCATTCCATCTTTCGCTGATACGCGATAAATGACGCGCGCATAGAACCTGTTATAGCTAAAAAAATCTGTTCGGTCACTTTAAAGGATGTTAAAAGTGTGTTGGGATTGTCTTTTTGGGTAAGATTATGTTATCAATATTGACATACTTATCTTTTTACAAGTACTTTATATTTAGACGTTGATAATGTAGGTTTTAAAACAGTATTTTGAAATTATTAATCATAATTATTTTTAAACTATTTAATGCCTGTAGAAATTTGGAATGTCATCTGTGTCATATCGTTATATCAAAGCCAATTCAGTCTATGTTTATTAAGCATGCGCAGTTTCAATGTCAATGTCAAAATTTGTTGGCGCTTATTATTTTAGTAAACGTATCTAATTCGTCAATGTTGTGTAAAGGCCAGAAAATGCTTTTGCTTTAAAAGTTATTATTTTACCCTGTTTTTCAAAATTATGTTTATATGATGGTACAATGTGTATTTCTTAAAGTAGTTAGTTTCTGTTAGTGGGTTTGTTGTTGAGTTTATTGAATTAAGGTTGTTGGTTTCAGTTTGTTGCGTTTATTTACAAGAAACACACTACACATTTTAACTAAAAATACAGTACATTTAAAGACCCTTTTTAAAGTCAGTAAAAGCATTCTTCCATTATTAAAATAAGTATTTTTACGTCCTATTCTTAAAAAAATAGATTATCTCAATATTATTATTAATATATAGTATAAAATAAACATATTTTAGTCATTACTTGTTACAACATTGGGATTTATGTTTAGTAACAGTAGTACAACAAGTTAACTAATTATTTTGACAACTAAACATAGGAATGGGCAACAGACTGAAGTTGTGAATGGCACAGCATTAAATGGGCACACAGTAGGATCTATTGCGCAAAGAGAAAACGAGATGGCTTACAAAATCCCTAGGCCACTTCAAAATGAGGACGTTATTGAAGTTAAAGGGCTTATGAGATCCAATCCAGAGAGGTAAGTGTGGTAATCATTTTCATATCTACACAATCATTTTTAAAGATGGCAGCTATTAAGGCAGGGTAATGTTACTGTTGGCACTGGTCAAATATAATATTTGTCTGGTAAGTCTAATAATTGAATATCTCTTATTGATTTCAGGATTTGTATAGCCCTAATGACAGGACAGTATAATATAGATTATAATAATGTTGCCTGTGAAGTAGAGGCAAGATTTATAGATGGTGACAATATGGTATTAAGAACAATAGTCAATGGTCAAATGGATGAACAAGTACTTGAACGAGAAAGGCCATCGGACTTATTGCCAGGTAATTTCAGACTTTGTTACTAATACATTGATTATTCTATATCAGTTATGACTAAGACGTCAATGTTACTTTGTTTCAGTAGCTGAATTCACATTTGCATTCAAACTAGTACAAGACTATAACTCGGATAGAATAGAAATAGCCATCGGCCAAAGCCATTTGGCTGAAGTCGACCTTAAACACAGTTTCCAGGATATTTCATATGTGACATTGAGTCATGATATACTAAAAGTAAACGAGCTTATCTTTAAATTTAATTAGTATTAGATTTAAAATGTATTTTGTTGTTGTATTGTGCATTTAAATGTTTCAAGTTTACATATTTTTGTTTTTAGAATTGCTATAGTCCACATCTTATATGCTTTTAATATGTTAAAAGTTTTATTGCTTACTAAGTATATTTTTGAATTATTCGGTTTTTATATAAGAATCTCACTCTTCTCTATATAAATAAAAAATATAAGAAAAATTCCAAATTAATAAAATATTCTACTTATTAAGCTAAAAATCAGTATTTTTTATTGTTAAGATTTATATGTCAATTGTTATTTATCTCTGCCAGCATGTCAGTAACTATTTAATATTTTTTGCAAATGCATAAAATATATTGATTAGCTTCTAGAGTAGTGTTGTATTTTAATTTTTTTAAGCTGAAAGGCAATATTGTTCATCATTCCCACCACTGCTTAGTCCAATGATTTTGTTATTTGTAAACTTTGCAGTTATTGTTATTTATAAATATTAATAAATAAATATGAAAAAAGAAAGACCTATTTATTATACTTGCAATAGTTTTGGTATCTTACCATCAAAGATGAATGGGTAACATGAAAAAAAATAAACGATCCCCGTTGAGGAGGAAAATGGCAAAGAAGTAAAAAAACTTACCAACTGTTGTGAACCGAACATAAGTTTCTTGATTGTCCATCATGGCATCAACTGCTTGCTTTTCGCAAAACAAAGCTGTCACAACGGCAATTGTAGGTTGTCGAGAAGAACATAAGGTAGGCATTTGTTTTACTACCTGTTACAAAAATATTGCCCTTATTTTGGATTTTCAATCCTAAACTATGGGCCATAAGCTAAAGTATATAAATGTCAAACCTGAGTTGACTGTGTACCTGAGTATCAACACTGTGTTGGCGAATATATAGGCCATCTGATATTGGTCTAGTCAGGCCCTTCTCTTCTAAAGATTCTAATGCATCCTTAACTTCTGCTTTAGACCATGGACCGGCACTACAATAGACAAATTTAATAGTTTTAAAATTATACAAATTGTTTAATATTCTGGAAAGTTAGAACTGTGTAGATTTGTATTAATTAATATTCTGAGACTGATAGAGGTAGATTTTCCTATAAGAAAAGAATAAAATTGGGAAATTTACTTAGGAAAAAAATACTAATTAAAACTTTATTATTTTCTACATATGCACATGAAGAAAAATAAAATTGGAAAATTTACAATAAGGCAAAAACTCTAGGATTTGTACTATTATTCCGTCCGCTGTGTCGAAAATTTTCAATTTATTTTCGATTTTTAAACTATTATTTGGTTAAAATTATGTTAACAATTTTCGGTCACTGTGCTATTTAAATGAACACTTTTAGAGTATGAAAATATAAATGACTGAAGTCATAACATTGCATTGCTTAGGCTACTCTATCTCTAGCGGACTCACATACAGTTTTAAAAAAATAATGTTAGACAGACTATATTAGTGTCTTTGTTGTTTTTTTTTCAGGCAAGTAGTTGATTAGGCTAATTACTCTCTTTTTTCAATCAACGTCATGAGAACTTGCAATAAAACAGTACTTACGTGATAAAGTCTTCAACAGTTAAAGGATTTGGATAAGCATTCTCAATCATATCTAATACTTTTTGTTCTGAGAACTGAGTGTGGTTTGCAAAGCTATCTTCAATAAATGCTGAAACATAACAGAAATATTATTATCCTATTTATATTTCTAATCTTCTGTTATATTTATAACAATGTGTTATCTTGCCATGCTACTTTAGAAAGGGGCGTGACTAAGTGTATTTACAGGATGAAGAGTGGGTTTAAAAATACAATAGATTGGAGTAATTAGTTCTAACGCGTTTGTTTATTATGATTACTATCACGGCGACTAAATTGCCAATATGAAGGAGTTTGAGGATTTTATTATCATTTTCTTTGGGGCTTGATAGAAGCCCTATGGAGACTGCACTAACTGCTGAGAATTTCACCCATTTGCTCATAGCAGAGGATATTGGGTTTTCCAACTCTTAAGGATATAAAGACTAACATTTAGTTAAAAAAATAATAATAATGCTGTGTAAGATTAGTATAGTGATTCTTGTTATTTTATGACAATTTTCTACATTCAGTAGACAACTTTGGTTGATGAGATCAGCTAAAGTTCTCTTTAAATAAAAGAACCTAACATAAGGCTAAATCAACATAGCAATAAACTATTTAACTAATTAATTTCTTCCTGACATGTACTAATAAGGTTCTAAACATTAATATAGAATACATGCACACACTAAAAACAATATTAATATACATACTACCATTACAATATGTGTATACAATATCCTTACGGGTTATCACACCATTTGCCTCTGTTCATATTGAAAACAATAAAAATATATTAATTTTATATGTTGAGTAAATAATAATAAATTAATGGATGAAAATTATAATATTATAATTGGATATACTGAAATGCCAAGTAAAGCATTTACTTAAATAAAGTTATATAAGATGTAATAGAAATAGTAATGCAAATAAGATTTACTTAATAAAATAAATTTATTTCAATCATGAACACCCTTGTTACTGATGAGTGTTAAGTTTTTTGTAATGTTACAAAAGGAGGCAGATACAAAGCTAAACAATAATCAAGTTATAATCAAACCCTGTACATTTCTTATACTATAGGATATTATGAATGTATTGCTATAAAAATACAACATTATTGTTGCTGCTACAGATATAAATCAATGATTTGAATAAAAATCTCAACTAACCTGGTGGTGGAGACCCAGGACCCTCCTGTCTGAGTTCTACTTCTAGGACTTTGAGTTGGTGATACTTGTTCTGCATCAGTTTAATTATCTTTTTAATAAAACCAACATAATCTGCAAGATAAATAAATTTTATTTAAATAAAAGCACTTATTGTACTTAATCAAATTAGCAGGAAAATGTTGAAACTAGTTATTATTGCAGAAAAGTTTATCTTTCCGGTATGGTTTTTTATCAACTGTACCAAGGGCCAATATAAGTTAGATCATAACATAATTATTAGATTTAATTTTTTTTTAGTCCCAAGTTCTTCAGACTCCAAGATTTTCATTATATAACAAAAAAATATTTGAAATTAAACAATGCACATAACCTATTCCATATTAATAAATTAGATTTGTATTTATAATACAGCAACTTTTATTAAACTTAATGTGATAACATGCAAAAAAGGATAAAAACGTGAGCAATATGTTAAGGATTAAATAATAATACCTTTAGGAAAGTCGTGAGGACTAACAAGTTCTCTAAAAAATGCTTGCGCTTCATGTGCACAGTCATGCAATGGAACTTCAGGTTTGAACCAAAATCTTAAAGCTCTTGCTTCTCTTGTATGAGTGCCGTCCGTAGCTGATACCAAATATACACAAAATTCTAACTGGGCATGACAAGGTTCTGATAAGCCATTTTCTGAAAATTAAAGAATATAAGCATAACTATTGACATTTATCCTTTACATATAAAAAACATAATTATTGTTCTTCACATACCATACACTTTTTCTTTGTTGATAATTATTCCGGTGTGGTCTCCACCGGCTATGTGAATTTTATCACTAGGTTCAGCATTAACAGCTTTTCTCTCTACTATTAAAGTAGTAGATGTTGCTGTTTTACTCTTAGGCGTCATAATTACTTTTTCTTCCATCTCTGCCATTGTTAATTGAGATAAGGACTTAAAGTTCACCAAACACTTAGTAATGAGATCAGAGATGACTCATAAAATGTCCTTTTAAATAATTAACGTCCATATGCTTCGCCTATGATAAATAATTCTTTATACAGCACATAACACTTCGTCGCTTCTAGGTTAATAAATTGGAGGCTAACGTTTGTTAGATCAATTTTATTTAGAAAACTAAAAACAAGAGAGTAACGTGGGAGTATCATACAATATTTTTATTCGATATTTTCAATTCGTAATATTTACTTTTTGGTGCTGTCACATTCACACCACAGATTAGAAATTAATTAATAAATTCAGGTTGAATTGCATTGATAAAAGAACAAATAATACAGTCGGTCTACTCCAAATCCTTTCTTCTGAACGACCAACGTATGACTAAAAGACATGTGTCCATAATAGTCGATTAAAAGTATGATTGACATCACACCGATGCGTGTCACAGATTTGACATTGACATTGATTCTAGTAAAGTAAATCTTTTCTATTTGATTTGAATGCAATTTGCAAACTTTTTAAAGTTATTTCTATATTAAATATTTCATAATTTTTCACATGTAGGTTGAGACTAAGTGAACTGTATGTTTTAAATATAAACGTATATACAAAGTTTATAAACTTAATAATTAGAATGCAGTTAATAGCATTTCTCCTATCCGTTCTTTATCTTTCCCATGTAAACAGTGAAAACCTGCGGAGTGTAAGTGATGATGAATTGTTGCAACTGATAAAAGAGGAAGAAAAACTCCTCGTTTTATTTCGTAAGTAATAAGAAAACTTATAAGGGCTGTTTTACGTTATTATTTTACAAATCTTGGAAATTATAATGGTTATGACTTACAATTTTTTTCAGACAAACCAAACTGCAAAGAATGTGATAAACTAGAGAGCCTTGTTGATAGTCTTCAAGAAGATTTTGAAAAACAATTGAATGCCCTATCAGTGAAAGTGATTAACAGCCACTTGGCTCGTTTGTATAGTCCTACTAAGGAACCGGCAATTGTTTTCTTTAGACATGGTGTACCTCTACTCTATAATGGTAAATGTATATGAGATTAATCTCATTCCTCATTCTATCAAAATGTTACAAACACTTGAAATTTTAATAAATATTCCATTTCACCTAATGGTCATTTCAATAAAGATCTAATTTTAATTAAGCATTTTAGGAATATCATACAACATATTAATTATAAATAATCACTTTTCATTTGAGTAATAATTTCTGAAAACTTATACATTGTTATTGTAGGAGAGGCAAATGAAGGTGAGCTTTACGGATATTTAGAACAAAACCAATCACCATCAGTGAAGGAATTGACAGATAAAATATTTGAACACCTTACTCAGGCTGCTACTGGTGCTACAACAGGAGATTGGTTTGTGATGTTGTAAGTACTGAAAATATAATGTCAAACACAACTATTAATTTATAAAAAAAGTAATACTTCAGTTAGTAATATGGCAACTTGTATAATATATATCCACAGAAGTAGAGATATAATATGGACATTGGATTGCAATTATCAAAAAAAATTGCTGGCATTGGGTTGCCTATATAGTTAAAGAATGAAATGAATGAAAAAAAATGGGGTACATTCACTTTCTATGTATCTTATTTACTTAGTCCTTTTTGCTACAATATTGATTGTAATATAATTTCTAGTTATGGTGCATCATGCGTGGAATGCCAAAGACTACATGCTGTTTGGGAAGGTGTTGGAGCCACTTTACGTGGAAGAGTCAATGTCGCTAGAATGGATTCTAATTTAGCAGGTTCTCTTACGGCTAAGAGGTTTAAAGTTACCAAACTACCAGCATTTCTCTTGTAAGTAGTTGCCTAATAAAAAGCAAATGTTGGATATATTTATAGAATGTATGTATGCTCACATCATAAATTATTTACATGGGATTGGTAACAACATAATATACACATATAGGTTCAGAATTTGTTATCGTGGTGTTGCATTTGTTATTTATTACTATAATTATGTTCAATACATTTTCTTCTTCTTTCAGCTTCCGCTTGGGCAAAGTTTACCGTTATGATATACCAAAATATGACATCAAGTCCTTTGTAATATTTGCTCAAGACTGGTACAAAAATGTTAAAGGAGAAGCTGTGCCACTCTTATCGTCTCCATTGTAAGTATTTCTAATGGTTTTAAACAGGAAATGTATTAGTTAACTTATTTTAACTTCAGCCTGACGTTTTAAACTGTTGTAAGTGTTTTATTTAAATGTATACTACTCGCGTTAAATACAGGCATTACTTAATAGGGTGCCTATTTTTGTGTTATAGATTTTTTATAAAATTATATGTCCACTTACCTTTCACTTTTTTACATTGTTAGCACTGCTAGTACTTACCTACTAGTTTACTCAAGAGCAACAACACCAGTATGTTTAGCATGGTTTATGACAGTTATAGAGGATTCTAATATGCTTTCTCCTTTATAGCGATGAAATTGTGGATTGGTGTGTAGAAATGATCAAATTTTCAATCAAAGTTGGGCTAGAAATACTGGTAAATTATCCATGGATCTGGCAAATAGGATTTGCTGGCTTTGGTCTAGTAGCCTTGACTGCGGTTATAGCTCTCATGAAAGCTAGAAAATCTAAACCAACCAAAGAAGGTAAAAAAGAAAAGAAGAGAAAGTAAATTCTTTTAGTTTGAGAGTACAATGTAAAACGTACAAATTCCGTCCATGGCGCAATATTTTGTACCATGCATAAATTAAGAAGATTTATACTTTTTAATATAATATCTAAAATAAATCAGTGTTTTTTATTGACTGTTTGATCATAAAGGTGCAATATGTACTTCCATAGAAGATAAAGGAATGTATAATAGAAATATAAATCAGTAGTACACATATAAGAAAAAAATTAAACAACTTTATTATAAATCCCACATTGCCTCTTTAATGCATGTTAAGTGTAAAAGCTCATTAAATTGTAACATGAACACATAATGTACAAAAGTGAGTGTCTTGAGTTATTATAGGAATTTTATACTCATACAAATTTGTCAGGCATATACCTATTGTTGTTACGAAACCTACATAGTATCACTACACCACGGCCACATCAAACCCTTATAAAGCATTACTTTATAATCTTCTATAAAATACTTAACAAGTGCTATTGTGCAAAAACTATTTTATAGAGCTCATTCATTAAGCCTAAAATAGTAAAGGCTTATGTAAAAATAATTAATACAATCTGTTTTACTGATCAGATTTGAGATGTAGGGCCTAAATTATTTATGCAATGCAATACCAGCAAACGTACATCTATTAGCTCCACTCAAAAAAACTTGTAAGCTCATTAAATTATACTAGGTGAAGATCTTTCATAAAAGTAGTATATTTGACTAAATAATAATTGTGATAATAAATTAAAGTTGAGACTAGGTTATATATTATCAATCTCTATTTTTATTCTAAAAACCGAAGCGGGATCTGTTAACTTTGATCTCACTGCATTTTCAAATTTCTTGAAAATCATAGAAAACTCCATAATGTTTTCAGGTTTTGACTCAATCCACATTTTGTCAAATTCAAAAAATAAATAGCAATAAAATCTATGAAATAAATCAATATTTGGTAAGTAGTGCTTTGCATTAAACATGTATGTTTTGGCTGAGCCATCTTGAAGAAGATAATATGCCATTGATGTCAAATTTATACCGACAATAGCATAAGTATATCCATATTTAGGATGCCGAGAATGACTCAGGACATGACTGGATACTTGAGGGTAAATTGTTGCAAAAAATAGAAGGTTTTCTAATCCCAACAATCCCATCCCTCGAAAGTCCGTTTTAGGGTCATCTCCCTGCAACATAAACAAAATTTAAGAATATATATTGCACTCCAAGATACTCGTTATTTACACTATCGAACCTGAAAACCAATATCCTGCCACTGTTTTGATATTCGTTCTTCGAGTGGTTCATGAGGCTGAAGAAGATTCCAAAGTTTTAATAGCTTTTCTTCATGTGTTGAATTTTGATAGTCATATTGTGTGCAGCGCAGATCTTCCACTTCATCAATTAACTGTTTGTAGCTCCATATTTGCTGTAAGCATTGTCGAAACGATGGTGCGAAAGTTGGATGCAATTTGTTGTCTATCTTTTTTGTTCGCATGATAATGGATATAGAAGGATACAATATATCGTCAAAGTTTTCTGGAATGAACCTACGTTCCACAACAACGGCATCTAGAAATGCAATTACTTCTTTAACATCTTTGGTGCGTGATAGAATCAATGACTTCTCCACATTGCACGTTCTTTGAGCTCCTGCTTTATCACCATAACATATTCTTTGCAACTCACATAGACGAGTTGTCTTTCTTAAAAACCACTTTACAAAGGGTCTCACATACCAGTGTAGTACAGACCAAATGTTGAAAAATATCATTTCTTTAAATATATGTATGGAATATCATTAGTATCCTTACTTATTGCTTAGCAACTTTTTTACCAACAGTGGTTATATTATGTTTACAGCAGTCTTATAAAATATGCTACTATTTGAATTCTGCGAAATAGGAGACATTGAGCTTAATTATTCTTTATTTAGTCAAATACGCTTTACAGAGCCTGTTAAATATGACAATTTATCTTAGTAAAAACAAGAAAAAGAAAACAAAACCTCAAACAGTAGCAGTACATGTTAATTATTATTAACTATGTATGACACAGATATAGTGTAATTACAGATATTATCGAGCACTACCGAGTGACAACTGACAACTAAGACAATACCACAGTATATATAATATAGTAAGAGCGTAAAAAAATGGCTTGCAGTATGAATTTCTATTTTGTAGTTGTAGTAGTATTTTTGTAGTTCTATTGTATGGCGTATTTTTGTTTTGTAATTTCCATATTACATAGTACGAAATATCTTATTTGGCTTAGAGATCGCAATATCAGGCTTTCATAATATGGTATTATAAAAAAAAACATTTTATATAATATATGTAAATTAGAGAGATAAAATTTTTCTTGCATTATAAAATCTCCAAGTTGTTAAATTAGCTTCATATTAATCAAAACGATATAAAAAAATTGTCACTAAAAGTCTTTCGTTTTACTTTAACTTTTTATTTCAGCACAACTCAGCGTAGGATAAGTAATGAAAAAGACATCCTTTTCCGAACTTGTGTTTTATTAAATCAAAATTGTAGTTCATAACTTTACAATAAAATTATTTACAATGCAACAATAGTACATAAGTTTATCACTTATCTTAATACAGATTGTCGTGCGCGTTACTTGCGTGAGTAATTGAATATAAAATAATATTTTCTATACTCATAATAATTAGCATTATTTTCATGTGACCTTATAAATCACATAGTTCAGTATTCTGTAATAACAAAGCTATACTATATTCTTTAAATATTTAATTATGAAATCGTATAACTCCTGAAATCAAAACAATTTTTGTAGGTTTTACTGACACTGTAACTCTAGATAAACCAGATATTATCACTTAAGGTACATTCAAGCAGAGTTTGCTAGATAGGTACAGGTTCTTAATATTAAATAAGACTTTACTTTATGGATTCTCAGAGAGAACCCAGAAAGATGAATAACGTAGACTTGAAGATAAAAATAGATCGAAAATAAAAGTAAGTAGCTAAGAAATACGTAATACGTTGTTTTTTTCCTGTTACCTAGTTGGGCAAATACGAAAGAACTATCAATTGAATTTATAGCAAATCTTGTATTACTACAAATTTTGTATTTCGATTTGAACATGCTCAAATTATATTTCATTAATTTTTTTGTTCACTCGTCGCACTTGTGATAAACAATTTTAACGATATTTTAGTTTTTTTTAAAGTAAAACTTATAACTAATATAATGTAGTTTAATAGGGCTCTAATAAAAGGCTTTCATAATATTTTGCTGTATACTTTAAAATACAATAATAATGCTAATCAAGCCATGTTATTATCTCACTATAAACGTCTTTTTGTGTTCTTTATTGCAATAAATATCTATATATACAGCATGAGTATCTAAATTTTGTGTATACACTGATTATGTAGGTAAGTATTTTACGAATTATAAATAACAATATTCTTATTGAATTGTATATTTTTTATCATCTTCATTTGACCTTTCTACGACCTTAATCTGATGTGATTTCAGTTGTCTATAGTACGTATGAAATTATATAAAACTACTCTGGTGAGAAGTGACAGTGCGTAATAGCGCTCAATGAGAAATAAATGTCTTTAAGCCCAAACTACCTCTCTAACTGAATATGCGTGGCGGATAGTAAGTACATTTCAAATCAGAATTTTTGTTTCTAGGATTCTCTTCTATTTTATGTTCAATGATCTGTCAAATTTGTAAAAAAACACAGATTATGTTCATTGTTAACCATGAATGTATTCAAATAAATCGGGTGGGTGAGACCTAACGTAGTTGACGTCTAAAACATGTTTTTACTTACTATCAAGTAGGCACGCATAGAAAGTAAAGTAGGTACCTACGTAATTATATAAAAATTGTATGCTTATAAGGACACTATATCTACCAAGACAGCGACTTTAAAAGGTCAACAGTTTGATGGCCATGGTGCATTAATCTACTAAATTCTGGACACATATACGTCAAACAATGTAATATATGTAATATGAAATATAACAAATGTAATAACATAAAACAAAATGTTTCTACAATAAATGTTAATATATTATTATAATGATGTTTCACTAAATGGCGCCATAGATACACTGCAAACATATTTTTGGTGACTTACGGAAAATAATTTATAGTTTATATCAGCTAAAAAGGTATACAGAGATAGGTATATCAGCAGTCGGTACAGGACATTTCTATTATATATGCTATCGGATAAAACATAGTAAAGAAAGACTTATTAGGTCAGTGTTAACAATGCATTAAAAATATAAAGCGTGAATTTGTTTCTATACGTTTACATAGCGTTTTATACACATCCTAAGAAATTAGACGGTAGAATATATTTTTTTCACAAAATTTTAAATTTAAAACTTCACAAGTAATTAATAAAATTTATATCGATTATCAAATACATATAATATTTATATAATGTATTATTAAATGTAGTACAAGGTACATTCAAAATAAAAAACGAATTCCAAGTTCCATATTTATATAATAATACAAGGTTCATATCATAATTTTGCGGCTTATAAAGCGAATGATATGTAATTTCATCTTACAGTTCAATATTTAGTAAAGCGAAAGTGTTAAACGTTTTATAATAATACTATTATAATTTAAAAATAGGAATGCTGTGGACCTTATAAAGTAATTTTTAATTTTCCAAAACTAAGATTAGGGTAGGCTTTAAGGACTGGTGTTGAGGACATTTGTGTACGTAAACCGTGGATATCAATAGTGGCAATAAGTATGCTCACGCGCATTTAAAAGCCCAAAAGCTCCGCTCTCTACTTAACACGCAATGCTGTTGAAATTCAAATTAACCCGACCATCTTTAATTAATACACCGTAATACTATATCATATTATATTCAAAGCACAGCCAAAACGTGTTCTTAAGTACTTAATTTATTTTAGTTATATAATTACATATATAAGTACCTACTTAAGTGCTATGTTAAAACACTTTTAGACTCTTTGGTCCGCGCATTCAATTAATCAAAGCGAAATATAAGTGCCGATTTGCATAACTACATATCTAATATTTGAGAAGGCCAAGGCATTATATATAAATTTAAAATTAGTGTAACACGGCCACGGAATACAAAGACGCGTTAATTCGCGCGATGTGAACGCCGTCCCGTCTAGCGACTAAACAATGTACACGATTAGCGGCGACCGGCGAACACAGCTAAACAATGCACAAATCTGTACTATCTTTACGGAGTCATGAAGTCGCGTGAATAGACGCTTCGTCCGTCGCGACTCTGTTCGGAACGCCAATCTACGTGGCCAGGCGGTAGAAGGTACGCTAAGTGACTTCAATTATAAAAATCATATGTTAAGGTAACAGGGTAGAGTGCATTTATCATAGCTGCTGGACGGATTGAAATATGCAAATTTAATTCACTGATTCTTATATTTCGGGACGTAGATTTTACAAGCTTTACACTTAAAGTAGGTATTGGTTCGCTCTAGGTTATTACAAGTCATTAAAGATATCTGTGCGTAGTGAATAATTGAGATTGCAACTAATTTTTGTATACATAAAAAAAAGTTTTTGCATCAAGCAGGATTTGTACTATTGTATTATACCAGATTATATTGGTTTTTATGAAAATTTTATATCCAACGTTTATTGCACTATCCAGGTATAGCTTTAAAACGTTACTTTATATTTTAATAAAAATATTTTAAGTGACCTACCCAAGTTGAATTTTTGTCGCCTCTCCAGGTAGGTAAGTTATAATAAGAATGAGGGATGTGTCTAATGTCAAGGTAAAATAAATTGTAAATATGTTAAACAACTATTTTTCACGTTTTAACCGTTATGGTGTGTACTAATCACGCAAACTACAGAACGGTTATTTATGTAAAGAATTTAAACATGCTACGTTAGTTTAATCATTTTCAACTACGCCTTGTCGTTCTGGTTGTTTTTGCAGCCATTTAGATGCGTTTTAAACCGGTAAAAGTGTTTTATTATGAGTACCACTCGCGTAAACTTATTTCAATTATTATTTTTTCAATGCCTACGAACACGATAAGTTATTATTATTTTATATAAGTTATTATAGCTACAATTATTCACTTTTCCAGTTGGCAAAACAACATTCTAATTTAATTAGAAGGCATGTTCATGGTTTTTCCATTATATATGTTTCGAATTAAAAACGAGTAGAAATCTATGACTTACTAACACAAGAATAATTTTCATGCAGCCAAACTTGCGTAAACTCTACATTTTGTAACAATTTGAGCGTTCAGTATCTACAACTAATAATTTACAAGTTGAACCTAATTTATGTGTGGTGGAAACAAACATACTTACAGTAACGTGTATTTTAACGTAGGACCGTAAAACCACTAAATTATTATAATACAAAGGTAGCTTCGATAACACAGTGCTATATCACGAATTCACAAAGTGTAAGAAGGGTGACTAATGCATTGAACTACGATTACTATAAGTAATTTGTGAACAGCTTAGTTTATAGTTTATAAAATTATTTAAATCTCTCATATGTTATTATAACTAAGACTCATTTGGACTGAATTTAGGTTTGAAATAGATTTCTTCGCTACAAGGTCGATCTTGTCTGTCGCTGGACACATACACACGAGATCAGTATCGTTATCGCCTTTGCATTCCGTCATTATACATTGTTCCCACTTTATCTATCATTAGACTTACATTAAACCAATCGGCCTCTGTATAACTAACGGAACCTATTTCGAAACCTGTAAAAACTCCAATTGCACTACTTAACCTAACGTACACCTTAATAGTAAGCAGTAACTCCTCTAAGTCGGTTGTATTTGCCTGAATAAATTTTGTCACGTAAAAATAGTTCCGGTATAATCACATTCACAAATAGCTTGCTTGTTTTTTCATCAAAAATACTTCATTAGAAATCGTGATTTGCTTCGAGTACAAAACAGCAGTGATAAATGAATAGACTTAGAAAAATATCGAGACACGATAACGGTCCTTTTACACAGCGTATCTCTTGTGGGGGATGGATAAGGCAGCATTAAGAGAAGGCTTTGTAGTGGATGAAGAAGAATATGAGAAACACAGCGTAGGCTGTCGGGAAAGTGATCCGCGCTATCACGTCGATGGTCTTCGCCACTCGAATCGGGTGCGGAGGCTCTTTCTTACGGACCTGGACGAAACATGGCTGAAAAATATTAATTCGTAAATGTATGATGGCAGCAAATAAAAATTACCAACTAAACAGCTTTTAAACTTGTGATCTGGAACTCGCAGTTTAAGCAAAATTTTACATGTGAAGTTAGAAGTAGTTGGGATGTGTTTTATGTTTACCTGCAATTTTTGACTGCTCTGAAATTGATTCATTAATTTTAAGGTACTTAAATAACATATTTGAACGGTAGAAAAATAATAACAAAAAAGTGTTATGGATTATATCTTTATGGTCTGGTGCAGAATGCCATCTTTCTTATCGATGTCATTATTCGTAATGATTACTTTTAAAGCATAATAAGCTTTGAGTCGTGAGGAGTTGAGTGCACAATTACCTCTGTAACACCGCCATTATTGGTCGTGTGCGTACAGGAACCCGGAGCTCCCGTACAAGCCGTGCACGACACTAAATCCGCTGCACCAGTGGATTCGCGCTTTTTATCTCCCTAAAGTATAAATATAAATCAGTTAACCAAAATTCTCTTTAATATAATTACCAAGCATTCATCTAAGAGTGATAACTACGAATCCACTGAGTCGAGGTGCTGATCTCGAGTCTATGAAGGCAAAAAAGGATCGTGGTCTATGAGTGGACGCTAAGCTAAAACCTCATGTAGTCTCGCAAAAATAAGTTACAACGTTCATAATAAAATGACAGGCTACTTACAGGCTGTAGCATTCCGAAGAGGCATTAAAACAAAAGTATGCGTTAGTTTTTTGTGATATCAGGTCTAAGATGATTGGCGAATGGGTTTTGATGTTTCAGTGACATCACTTACAGCACCGCTTGATCCCGGTTGGGGAGTTTCGGATTTGCTCCAATGGAGGAATGCCATCGCCTCCTTTAACGATGAATATTAAGATATTTATTATGAGAAGCTGGCTAATTAGAGTGATTTGCGGAAGCTGCTTAATTGCTTCGACGGGGCTTTGCCGTCGACGTTTACCATAATATGAATCGTTTATCATAATTCTCAAAAACGTAAACTACATGCATATTTGGTTAACTGTGTTATGCATATATCCTCATCTACAAGGTAAATTCTACATTTCAACTACGGCAATGATCTATAGCTTGATACAGAATGTTGTCTAATTCCTAAAAATGTTCCGAATGGCTTTTTCTTCTGAGATGGCTGTGTTAGGCCATATACAACAATTTATTGCTAAATTATGAGAGAGCATTAAAATACAAAAACTACAACATGCGACTGTGATTGTAGTGAAGATAATCTAGCGTCTGTTATATTTTCTGAATACCGAAGGAACTCGGTAAGGGGTATAAAATAACTAAAATGTGTCCGTCCTACTTTATTAGTTTTAAAACTTACCTTACAAAAATGTATGTAATAATTATAAAAATAATTTTAAAGCGTTTTCACCTAATCTGTCTTCTCTGTTAAAGGTATACTACTTAGGACTGCTAAAATGCTGATCTACGTGTAAAGAAAATAAGCTGGATAGAAAAGATGATAACCAAAAAAGTAGGACAGTAAATCAAAATTCGATAAAAATATAACAGAGTTTTGTCTGGAATGTGCCAATGAGAATGGCGATATTCTTACCAAGGGACTGGCCAGTATAATGCCAATTCTGCTGAGAACCGCTGGCAGACGCTGCGAACACATTATACAGATAGTTTGTTCACTCGTGACAGATGGTCTAACGATGTGCAATAGTGAACTGACTAGATTGTCGTGGCCAAATTATACACACGTACACACAGATAGTAGTATTGAAATTCACGACGCGTATTTTCACATCAAGTGCAAACTTTGCAATGTTTTCTTAAAACGGATGGTAATTATCTACAATGAAAATTAGACGCAATATTCCGCGGCCACACAAAATAGTCTCAAGGTCTGTGAAAACTATGGAAGTATTTTCGTGGAGGTGAGTTTATAATCCATATTTCGGCATGCATTATTAGAAGAAGGCATGCGAAATTTAGGATAAAATTGTTATTAATTAAGATTAGAAAACTGAAACAGCGTGCTTTGGATTGTGGGTTAGTAGAAAAAGAAAACATTGCAAAGATTAAGGACAGAATGCATTATCATTTACTAAATAAAGATATGTAATAAGCAATTTAGTCCTAGACTGACTATTTTCAAAACCAATAAATTCTTTTGCTTACACATTGAATTAAAAAACAAATAAAAACGCTTTTAACATTCGTAGTAAAAATCTAATAGTATAAGTTCTATATTTCCTTTGCTATGTAAGGCTCTAGTAGCTATTGATTATAATTATTAAAGAATTAGGCTCTTTAATTTGTGTTTAATCTAAGCCTATCTCACAAAACGACATTAATATTAAGTTTAGTTGAGTGCTTTTTGCAAACTATTTCTACTGTAAGTTGCCACTGATTACACCATCGCGGGGTAAATTACAAAAAAGACGGAGAAAGAAAAGTGAGAATTTTACCTGCGTCACAGGATTCTCTCCAGGCCTGTAAACGACGTTGTGGAGAGGTCGCTTCCGTCCCACGTAGTTGACGCAGACGAACTCCAAGAGTGAAGCGTATATGAAACACATACACACTCCGTCCCACACGTTCATTGCTGTCAGATTTGACACAACTGGCAATGTTGAGCGGAAACCGTTCGAGGTTGTGAAGAAATTCAACATTGTCGTTACACCTATAGAATTCAATAGAACATATTCAAACAAACATCCTTCTCAAGACTTCAAAGCTTTAAAGGTGCATCGACTAAATATGCATCGCTTTGTTGGCTGAAGCTTATTTGACATGCATAAAGTGCATGAAATCTATCTTATCAGAAAATAATAAAGCGTTAAGTTAATAATTGTGATTTTTACACAGCAAAATAAATATAATGAAACAAACCTATCATAACTCTAGCAGGCACTGCATTCCATTCCAGCCAAAAAGTAATAAACGATGAGGTCACCAAAATGATGCCCGGAATGAAAACTGTGGTGAAGTAAAATGATCGATCTCGCGTGAAGATGAGGTCCACCCTTAGGCAGCTGTAATTACCTAAAATACGAAGCATTATCTAAAAAATATAGAACATAAGTGGTGGTTTCACGTCATAATATCTATCTACTACATTGCCAACGAGAAAGCGGAGGGCGCCTGTGTAGAAAGAGCGTGCTGTCGCAGACGCATCACAGCTACATACAGAAGGAGTAACGACAGTTGCAAGACCGATAACATTCCAATTGCCAGCCATTTTACCTATCATGGAACGGGCTGGCACTGCGTTCCACTCCAGCCAAAATGTGATGAAGGAAGAGGTCACCAGGATAATGCCAGGGATAAAAACTGTTGTAAAGTAGAATGCTCGGTCTCTCGTAAAAATTAGATCCACCTTTAAACAGCTGTAGTTACCTGTGAATTGAATAGTTTTCGTAACTTCTGCAACGGTTATCCCCTCACGAGTTTAAACTTCAAAAAACGTTATCTTTTAAATTCTAAATAACTCCATTCAGTGGCCTTGTATTAAACAATTCTACAAACAAAATTTATTCAAAAAAATCTACAGTCCTGCTTGTAAGAGTAATGCGTGTTGTGTTTCCGCTGTGTGTTAGCAAATTGTGATGATTTGATAGAACTTAAAGGTTAACTAACGTGCATTCACACAAATATACGTGCAGACAATGATAACACGTTTGATGTCTGTGAAAATGGAAATGGATTGTCTGGTTTCGTTGCAAAGTGAATTCCACTGTCTTCCTCGCTTACACAACAGCGCATTTACTCGTACATAAGCGGGAATATTTTAAGAACGATAGCACCGGACTTGGTTGTAAATGATCCGGTGCAAGTCAAGTTGGTACCTTGCTCCTCAAAGCGTCTCTGGCAAAGATTACATGTCAGCTCTTCGTCATCCTCGTAAAGTGAAATACCATCAGCTGCTTGCAAAAATGTTAACGAACTCTTATATTTATTATTTTTGATTTCATTAACTCACTACATTTAAAAAATGCAACGTTTAGTAAACTATTTACTTAAGACGTAATGAAACACTTTGATGTCTGAATGATAAACAAAAACATGCGACTAATCGCTAATTTCTAAATAAAAACACCAATCGTCTACTGCAATACCATACTTTGATAAGCCGCTATAATTTTGAAAACATTCCAAACACTTTGTATACAATATCTAAGTTGCACTCGAGACTAAGTAATATTGACGAAAAACAAGACCAAGCTGAAGAGAGTTAATCAGAATATTCTATCGATCGACGATATCCTCCCCTGTGCAAAGAATAAGGTAGTGCTTGTAACAAAGAAATGGATGTTGGGATTCTATGCTACGAAATTCGGGTCCAAGTAGGCACAATTACATAATATATAAATACATATTATTGATGGATTAATTTCGTTGAAGCAATGTTGGCATGTATTGTATTAAAAAATTCGTTACCTCTCCAACTAGCTTTTATTGGACAAGGGATGGTTTGGTTCTGGATGAGATAAGCGTTCAGTGTAGTCAGTGAGGGCGACTTCCGAAGCGTGTCTTCGTCGTTTTTCCACACGTAAGTGATTGCAGACTGCTCATATGAAACTGAAATTTGTACTTTCATTGCTGGCGGGTTGTTATTAAACCAGCCTTATCTATTATCGTTGAATCGATTGATTTAATTAAAGGGGTGTAACATAGTTACAATACAATAAATCTTAGGTATTGGAAATAATAATTTTTAGCTAAATTTAAAATGTTCATCCAGGAAAACATTTTATTTGTCTAAAATAGACATAGTTATTGTCTTCAAGTTACCACGCACTGTGGTGATGTTATGAGGTTGTAATTAGCACAAATAAATTACTTACTACTTTCTAAGGCAAATGAACACAATGGGTCGTCAAATGGAAAAATGTTGAGCCGCCCTTGACAGGATAGTATGAGATGCCGTCGCATCAAGTAGTTGATTGTCCCATTACGATAAATACGCAACGCAAAATGCATTGGTATTATGGGGTCCTGTAAAATAATTATATTTGTAATTTCAATTAGCATCTAAAATAAATTCAATTCAATGTAATTGTATCAATAGATGATTTTTACTTAGTAGTTGATTTTAATTGCCTCGCGAATAGATTAAACGCGTTGCCTGGTTTTGTGTGACACGTGTAAGAATGTGGGTTCGAAATTCTGGCGAACCAATAACATATTTGGTATTCCCAGCGTGTATCTTCCACACGAGCCACTTAAGGTAATGTGATATAATATATACCTCCTTTCTATTTCTTGTAATTCTAATAATCACTTATGATAACTAAGATCATAGTTGATATACCGCTGTCATAATGTTTTGTAAATATACAAAGTTCGTTAATACAGATGATAATACATCGCTTAGGCTTCACGTACTTTAAAGTCTCCATGCATAATGAAGTATGTATCTGGTAACCAAATGTCTTCGTGATGGTGTATGGCGTTTAGAAAATCGTAATGCGACTGGTTTGAATACCGAAGTCGAGGATCATACCACTGCTGCTGAAGTAAGAATTCGACCTCGTATTTCTGAAAAATATTTATTTTTTATTTTCTTTCTTATTAAGTAAGAGAAAAAGCGACAATCGTGCAAGATAGTACGAAGATGCACTTACGAGACTAGATTCATCTGGTGATGCTAAACTAAGAAGTAGCACGCTAACATTTACGGTGAGGACACCTGAAAACCAGTAAGGTAATTTTGAGAACATTTCATGTGCCCTTCGTTACACAGAGCCGTTTCACTAAAGAATTCCCTTTAGCCCTGTCCAGGGAAATTGCGCAGTCTGCATCACATTCAATGCCTTTGTAGGATTTCATTTGTGAAACGTAATGCATATAAACTAGGTCCCACAATATTTACTGATTCAATTCACAAGGTTTTGAAGATATAATTAACATAATTGTATCTTTAAAACTTTGAGAACTAAACTAAACACCAAAACACAGTAATAAACTTTTAATAAACATCGAGAGTACAAAACAACAGACATGCTTTAATTCACAACTGGATAAATTTAATTTGGATTTCGAAATTTAAAATATCGGACGATTTTTGTTTCATTTCAATAAATCGCGTTTAATTTACAAAGAAAGCTTATTTCAGTATTTGCAAAGTCATTAAGCTTGTAGCGTTATAAAAAAGAGTACTGCAGATCCGGGTTCAAATTAAAATTGCTAATGAACCTTGCAAATAATAATTATGTTCGTGAAAAGAGAAAAATCACAATTTCAACATTTGTAATGTATGAGACCTTCATGCTCTGTTTATTTAAGCCAAAACTTAAATATTAACTCTTAAATAATAAAACCAATCTTAAGAATATAGGTGCAGAAAAAGAAATTCAGGGTAGTGTCTTATAACAACAATTTCTAAAGCGATGCGATCTACGTTGCGTGAAGATAACATTTATTGCGTGCAATAGATTTTGTGTTCACACACATTGGAAAAGGGTCTAATTTCTCTTTTCATTAACATAAAAACGCACCACGATTGTGCGATTGTGGCCGAAGTGAAGATAGACCGACTCTATTCTGAGCTATGGTGTCGTTCGGTGTTGTTAGACCACAACAGAATACTGGATCTGTAATAATTACAATTACTCTATTCAAAACGATGCCTGACTTCTTTAGAAGTCTATCAATTGTTAAAATGCTGCTTTTTACTGTGTTAATCTTGTTAAATGTCCAACAAACTTGTTTCATTGTAGCGTAAACTAACCGTCAGATGTAGAACATTCCATCGGAAAGAAATGCTAAGAACTCGCTAGCGAACACGTCCGTAAAATTTCTCTAAAATAAGTCTTAAATTACGGTAAAAGCAACGCCTTTTTAAATCTACATTTAAGCGAGCGGGAAAAAGTAATGTACAACAGTATTAATAATAATTACCGTCTACTGGCGGTAGCAGTCTTTTGTCATAGCGGGAATTTTTTAGAAGATTGTCCAGTATCTCTTTGTCCGACTTCCCCGCTGCAAAACTGAAAATATCACGTTTATTAGCTTAATTATTCCAAAGAGACCTGTCTCGTTACTATAATAGGTAACCAAAAGTCCTTAGGTTCGATTCCCACTGAGCCCAAAACGTTTCTAAACCACTTTATAACTTTTCTAAAACATCTTACATAAAATGGATGATAGATTTGAAATTCCGCCATGACTAATTTCATTTCGGTTTCAGTCTGTGTATTTATGGCCTAAAGTTAAATATAGGTCGGTAGCGTATCATAATAAAAGTACACCATATAACATATAATGTATGTATTGCAAAGAAAATAAACATTCTTAACAGCTGTCGGTCGCAGTTTAAAATCCCATATGAATTGTTTATCGATTCTCAAAACTTTCACAAATCAATACAGTGTTCTTATTTCTTCATTATAATATTAAGGTATAGAAGGTATTTCGACGGAAATAATATTGACCCTTCATCCTTGGTAATTCAGTCTATAAATGTGTATGAAATGAGCACGGTTGAACGGAAGCGAGGTAGGGACTATTATGTTCGCTTCGTCGCCCTTTGCTTGTCCTTTCGCGCTCATTTGTGTCATTCATATAAAATCACGACCTACTGCGCCCGATGTTCTATATAATTAATGATCATAGTAGAAATAATATTGACACGGTAGCTTAATTGTCTATTACAGCAGCAGTGAACGCTGTGGATGCTGGTTCGAGTTCCGCTCGTGTCACAACATACTATAGAAACACAAAGGTCAGCTTATATATTTAAACTTAACTTGAAAATGTTACAACGTAGATAAGCTAAAGGAGATAATACAAATATTCCTAAAAAGAAACAAGAGAAGATTAGACAATAAAAAAAAATCGGTGACAAACCGTGGTTTTACAGCTATTTCTATGTATTTCCTTAAGCGAACTTTAAAATTGTAGCTAATTCAAAAACTAGCGACTAGCGATTTTCGAGAGTCGACCCGTGATTGATGATGGTGGTGATAAGGTGATACTAGTGATACTGGTGATAACTTACATGTCGGACGTGAGCGCTGATACTCTGGTGAGCATCAGGAAGAAGGCTCCGGCGCGTGCCACGACGCATGACCAACCCATATTAGGACATCTAAAACGGTCAAAATTGGTTAAAATTCTGGCTGTGGATAGATAAACAATTGAAAAAGTGATTACAGTATTATTAATGTATGCCGAGTTTGAGGGTTTATTAAATAATCATTTCAGTATGTTCATGTCCATTGTTTGCCATTCCACGAATTACATTTTGATATTTGCTCAGTGAATATCAAAATAGTTTGGGATCTTTTGACTGCCTCTATAGCCAAACGTGTTTGAATCCTACGGAAATAATACATTGTTTCGGTCGGGCACGGCACACAAGTCAGGTCAAGTACTTGCCTGTAAAAGAACCGATCAGTGTACCGAACACAATAGTTTTGCAATGTGAAAAAAAAATCCATATTGTGTAATAAAATATGTATATAAATGAGTATAAATACATCTATAAAATCTGAAATTAAGTACTTTTGTAAAATATAATTATAATATTCATAAGTTACCGCCAACGTCAGTTAGAATTGTTCACGATAAAAATAATTAAACACTACACTGACTTATTGCGGCTTAGTTATTTCATATAACTTGTAAGTGAATCACATTGCAAAGTGCTCGCGTGACGCAAGGTCGTTTTGTTTTTTTTAATAAAACATGATTTTATGTATGCTTCAATTGAATACATGACCTAGTTTGGACATGTGAACTGATGACGTCAATTAGTCTTATCTGGGTGTTAAAATGCGTTTTTCGCTGAGTTAATAAATGTGTTTGAATCTTCATAATAATCAGATGGCGAACGACCGGTCGTACTGGAAGTCTATGGTGGAGGCCTATGTCCAGCAGTGGACATTGAACGGCTGAATCGTAATAATCAGATATCATTGCAGTACGACATCTGATATAAATAAAACGGAGGTACCTACTACGTGTGTTTAAAACATTTAAATAAAACACTTTAACGGTTTAAAACGCGATATATTAGTTAAACTTATTTGGAAATGATTTTTAACTTCGGCCCGACGTTTCGGATGCTTTGCAGCAGCCGTGGTCACGTCCAAATAAGTTTAACTAATATATCGCGTTTTAAACCGTTAAAGTATTTTATTTAAATGTGTACTACTCGCGTATACTATATACAGTATTTAAGACAAACACGTTAAAATAGTAGCTTAACTGGTAAAGCATCAATTTGGTATGTACTGTTGATTGTTCGATTGAATAATTTTGTATGTATATTTTTTAATAAGTCTTTATTTATAACATTAAATTGGTATAGAGATTATATCTCTGAAGTCGAATTGTATCATCAAATATTAATGATTTTGGGAAACTTGAAAGAATTGGTTGAATTTTATCATAATTTGGATACATACTAATTAATGTTGCTCGCTGTCTCACTATTTTGCACTCTTAAATACACACAAAGTTATTACAATTAAATATTTGTTAATATATTGTTTTTTGTCTAATTAAAGGTTGAACAATATATCATCAGTGTAGTTTCATGTATTTACGTATGTACTTTTCAATTAATTTTCATTTCAAAAAATTCAGCTTACTTGTATTACATCATTAAACAAAAATCTGCGTTGTGTATCAAAAAAATACGCAAAGTAAAACCTTTTCATTCAACATTGGTATAATGCTGATGTATAAGTAAAAAAGAGTGTTATTTACTTTCAAAGAATTGAACGAATGAAGCCAACATGAAAAGGTTCGTTAGCTGTTATCAAAAGTATTATATGTATGTGTTAAGATTCTGTTTACAGCGTTGCGGAGTTTATGTAATCAGATGTAATCTTACTGGTGATAAAAATGCAAAACCCTGTCTGCATGAAAGATTAGCAACATACATTTTTAAATTTTCTGCAGCTGCCGACTTAAAAAGTTATTACGTCCAGCTCTGGTTAATTCAAATGATATTGCGGAATTTTAATACGTACCAAGACTTAGATAAAAGGGTGTAAAAAAATAGACAAAATCTTCAACAGTGTTAAGATTCTATTTAACTTGTACAATTGACTCGGTATCTCAATTGATTAGAGTGGATGCCGGTTCAAGTCCTGTGCAAGTCGTAAATTTTTTCGTCATTTTCGATTTTTAATTTAAGATGTACAATACTAAATCATGATTGTATCCTAATCGCTACAATCGCTACTTTTAAGTAAATCTCGAAGTCTATGCTATTTCGTTCGGAAGATTGGAGGGTAATTTTGTTTTTTTCGATAAGACAGCCGAAGGAAGCTAGCGCGCGCTGCAAGCTGGGTCCCGCTCATGCGAGTTGATTGTGCACAGTTTTTGATTGTTATGCGACTGCATTTCTAGATATTATCATTAAAGTTTCCGAGAGTCCAGTGCGTTATTAATTACCGTAAATTAAGTAAACATACTACGTAATGGTGACGTAAGTTTATACCCGACCCTCTTTTCTTAATGGTACAACAATCAATCAGATAGACCACGTCTTAATTGACGACAGGCACAAAAGCTCTATCCAGGATGTGAGAGTATTTAGAGGTGCCAACTGCGATAGTGACCATTACATGCTCAGGGTCGAAACTAAGTTCAGGATTGCTAGAAAACATAAGAAAAGAGAACGCAAAGAAGAGATAATCGATGCCGAAAGACTGAAAGACCCAAAAGTATCCAACCAATTTCAGATGGAGGTCAGCAACAGATTTAGTGGACTTAGTGTTGATGAAATCGAGATAGAAGATCTCTGGGAGACAACAAAAAGCTCAATCAAAGAAGTAGGTCTGGAAATTATCGGGAAAAGAAAACGGCAGAGGAAGAGAAAATGGTGGACAGAGGAGTGCGAAAAAATAGTGGAGGAAACCAGAACGTACCGTCTACTGGCTGAACAAAATCCGACATGGAAGCAGCATTATGACCACGTGAGACTGCAAGCAAAGAGAACGATCCGAAGAGCCAAGCGAAAACAGTTGGAGGATATCATCACAAACATGGAGACGCTGATGAGAGCCAACGAAGCGCGTAAGTTCTTCCGAGAAGTCCGTTCAGTTAAGAAAGGCTACCAACCCTCCACTCAGTCACTGCTCGACGATGATGGAAACCTTGTTAGTGACACGACAGAGGTGAAAAAAACTTGGCTGAAGTACTTCCAGGCACTATTAAATTGCCCTAAACCGAAGAGCCCAATTTCATTCACCGAAAGAGTAGAAAGTACGGAGGTACCTGCCCTAACGTTCGAAGAGGTAACGAAAGCGATAAGGAGGCTAAAGAATGGTAAAGCTCCTGGCATAGACGGTATACCCGCGGAAGTTTGGAAATATGGCGGCGATACCATACAACTAGTACTCTTCCAGTTGCTGCGCAAGGTTTGGTCAATGGAAAGACAGCCACAGGAATGGAATGTAGGTATCATTTGCCCCGTCCACAAAAAAGGCTGCAAAAAGACTTGCGCTAACTACCGAGGGATAGCCCTGCTACCGACAGCGTATAAAGTGTTATCTTACATACTCCTGGATCGACTCGAACCTTATGCGGAACAAATCATAGGTGATTATCAGTGTGGGTTTAGAGGAAATCGCAGCACAGTTGACCAAATTTTTCTTCTGAAGCAACTGATGGAGAAAAAATGGGAGTACGCTCAGGGTATACACTCACTTTTTGTCGATTTTTGCAAAGCCTACGACAGCATTGATAGAGAATCGCTTTATTCCATACTAGTCGATTTTAGAATCCCCGAAAAACTCATTACTCTACTAAAAGTTGCTACAAAAACCAGTAGGATGCGCGTCAGGATAGAGGGGGATCTAACAGAAGAGTTCGACGTGGTAACCGGGCTTAAACAAGGAGATGCGCTAAGTCCAATGCTGTTTAATCTTGCACTAGAACATGTCATTCGCAAAGTAATGGCACTCGACATAGGTGTGCGGATGAACGGACAGCATAAGGTAATTGGATATGCGGATGACTTGGCCCTCCTAGGGCAAACGAAACGAGAGGTGGAGCTGTCTGCACAAACTCTCGCCACCGAAGCTGCAAGAATAGGTCTCAGAATCAACTGCGAGAAAACTGAATATCTCCACATGAAGCGCTATAAAAATACAAGACAGAAACGCGATGATCTTCGAATTGGAGATATGAAGTTTAAAGGCGCCGCTAAATTTAAGTACCTCGGATGCACTATAACGGACACAAATACACGGGCTGAGGAAATAGACATCCGAATTCAAAACGCCCTCCGTTGTAGTGCGGCTCTCCACAAGGTGTTAGTGTCTAAATTGCTGACCAGGACTACAAAGATAAAGATTTATAAAACAGTCATTAGACCGATCCTTCTATACGGCTGCGAAACGTGGACGCTAACACTCAAAGATGAGGAAAAGCTTTTAGTGACAGAACGCAAAATACTGCGGAAGATTCTGGGACCGACACAGAAGGAAGACGGTAGCTGGCGGCCGCGAAAGAACGAGGAGATCGAAAAGCTGTTTGCCGCCCCTAACATCATGGGAGAAGCTCGAGCTCAAAGACTCCGCTGGACCGGCCACGTCGAAAGAATGGAAGAGCACCGAAGCGTCAAGAAGGCGTATCTCGGAATCCCGAACGGCCGCCGACCCGTTGGCCGGCCCAAATACCGCTGGAAAGACGCCGTTGAGCTTGACCTGGTGGAACTCGGTGTCTCCGAGTGGCGAACCGTGACGCAGGATCGGCGGAAGTGGCGTTCTCTTGTTGTGAAGGCCAAGACCCACTTTGGGTCGCTGCGCCAGCGGAGTAAGTAAGTCTTTTCTTAATATAGTTGTATTCCCTTTGATGGGTGACCTTTAATTCTAGTTACGATACAGACGGACACACCACAATAATAGTGTACATCGTTCAGGATTACCACTAGACCGAAGGTATGTGCTTATAATATTGAACCTAGTTAAGGTAAGCCATATGCTTATTGATAGTGTGTATCGACATTTTTACGAGTCATGTTAATAAAACATAAAATAATACTATTACAAAAATATGCAATGTCGAATTTTCAATCTAATTTTGTAGGCACTATGATTCTATTAACATTCTATGAAATT